TATTGACGCTGCGGCGTCTCAGCTGAGCGAGTGTAGTTTGAGCACATGTTCGCGTGCCATTTCGGTTGCCATTCAGGAGGTAAACGTGTAATCAGCTGAGATCCGTAATTAACAAAAGTCACGTTATACACGGTGACCTCGTCCCCGAAGAACAAATGGTCGACCGTTCAAACGTCATACATGCATCATGTGTCGGCAGCCACGGTATCAGTACAAGTACAGTTCCATATCACGAGATACATCGGTTCTTGATAACCAAGGAAGAATATACGCGGGGTCGCGTACGTAGGGACTTTCTACATAGAAATCAATCGTGAAGGTGGTAGACATCATGTCATAGATAAAAATGTGAGGCACCTCGTAGGGTCGACTTCTATCAATACAAACCCAGAAGTCGACCGAAAAAAATGCCATCGGTCCGATAGGCGCTTTTATTCTTCCCGACATTAGCAACTCAACGCTCGATGGGAAAAAGTTCGAGCATCGAGTGAATAAGAAGGGATACTAGTGTGCACTTTAGATGACGAGCATGACCTGCAAAAAAATTCATGAAGTCATGATGTGATGCATGTAGTTCTCGACACCTGAGACCTGACAGTTTATCGATTGGGTTGGAAAAGCCTCGTTTGTTGGAGACCGGAAGTTCACTGACGCTCATGAAAGGCTCGGAGCTTGGTATAGGCATCACGAGGCGTTGATGCCTTTGAACTTTGAAGCGGCGATGAAGGGAGAAAAAAAGAGAAGGCCACTTATGGGTTTTTGAAGGACCTCGCTAAAGAAAAAATTACATAAAATTCCAAAAAAAAAGTAGTATGTAAATTGATCGTTAGATGAAGCTTAAGACGAACTTCCTCCAGTTGGTCTGCGTACAGGAGACTATCTCAGCTTCATTCTAGGTTCCTGTCGTTTGGGTTGAATTCTCGAGATGGTTCTCTCGAGTCCCCAAGGACTCCGCCAACGAAAGGTTGCCGACGATGGTTCGGAAGATTCAGGAGCTCGTTTTAAAGCAGAGTGTGGCCAGTCAGAGAAGACACGTCAGGCACACGAGGAAGTGGTTTGGGGGCAGACGCCAGACGGCGAAGGTGGGCGCTAGTGAAAAGGCTTCACGAATTGGATTTTGACAAATATGCTATCAGTCTTTAGGGTTCCAACCACGCACGATGTACTAACCGGGCTTTTCCATCCACGTTCCCAAAGAGTCATCTGGACATTCTCAATCTCTCATTGCTCGGGTTACAGCTTGTTCTGTTCTATATATTACCACGTCCCACAGCCAAAGTTTTCTTTCTGTTCTATTTCGTGTTCTGGAGGGCAGCTTATGATGCTGGGTTGGGATGGGTCCTCACTAAACAGAGCAAGAGAAAGTGGATGGTTCGCGAAATACAACGCCTCGGATGGCTCGATGAGAAGCGTAACCCGGCTGCTAGAAACTGGATTCGTGCTCAGTTACAGGGGAAAATGGGAAAGGACTATTCATTCGATGTGAGCAGCCTACTGATGCCAGCCAATGCATCTCTCACGAGTGTATCAGGAGCTTCCATTGGAATACAACACATGGCTGCTGTTTAGGCAGCTTGTGGATGTGATTCTTCTCAAGTCAGCTCTATCAAGTGCATTAGCGTTCGATAACTAACATGATTGGCTTATCAGTGACTTCTTGGCGTACTGCATGTTCTCCTTTGCTTGTTTCAGAGTGCCCGAAGGACTTTCTTTCCCTGTCCATGCTATGAGGTAAGTATTTCTCCTTGCACTTGATATCTTGCTTATCGCTGCATAGGTGGATCGGTGGTGTTGCGTTGGTCGCATTCAACCTTTGGGTAAAAACCGAGGCACACAATGTTGTCAAGGATTACGGTTGGTACTGGGGCGATGTATTTTTCCAGCGCGGCGCCCTTGTATTCGATGGCGTTTTTGAGTTGGCCCCTCATCCAATGTACTCCGTCGGTAAGTTGTGTTACCTCTCCTTGATAACGATCGCAAATCAATGAGACAGGTTACGCTGGATACTATGGTCTTTCCCTGATGGCCGGAAGCTATGCTGTCCTTTATGTCAGTCTGGCAGCTCATGCAGCTCAGTTCGCATTCCTTGTCTTGTTCGAGAACCCTCGTAAGTGATCTCTGATATCTGATCTACAACTTTCTGATGTGAGGTAGATATCGAACGGATGTATGGAAAACGCAAGCCTATTGCGCTGCGTAAGCCTATATCTGCATCTGAAACCAAGAAGATCAAAAAAGTGCACAGTTCCCGCCAAATTCCATCATCTGTCGAGGACAATGCAGACCAATTGTCCACACCCGCTGCCACGGAGGGTGAGAGTGCTACAGATACCGAAACTGAGACGGAATGCGAAGGCAAGGCTCCGGCCACCCTCCGTTCCTACCGCCCCAAGCAACCCATACTTTTGGAGAGTACCGTCTCTCAACATGATTTGCATCACAAGTATTTCAGACGAGACGTGGTTCTTCTTCACAATATCGATTTACTCCGGTAAGTACGCCTCTTGGTGGACGAACACTTATCCTGACTCCCTTTCAGTTCCTCAGATGCCATGCTTGCGCTTCTATTGGTCTATGTCGTATTGGGATCATCCTTACCTGTGCTATCATATCATGCAACGCTCGCGTTACACTTCGCACACGCTTGTGCTTGGTGTATGTTCCACAGCTTTGGTCTTGGGCTTCTCCTTCGTGCCCAGAGCAAATCGAAATACCTTGTCCGGCACTTCTTAAAACATTACCATTATCCGTCTCGTGACCATGGTGATGGCGCAGTGCAGGAAGCATTTACCAACTGGAAGGCGTTGTACAATATTAGCTTGTGCATGACGTATAGTGTGTATCTGAGCTTTATGCATGACAAACTACTGATCGGAAAACTGCGTGCCAGCTTCGCTGACGAGTTTGGCGTGGAAATCATACACGGCGCCCGTTGCTTGGTTTGAGGGTGATGCCCTTCTCTGTCATACACTAGGAGCAGTTCGTATTTTTGCTCATTTCCTTTCACGCGCTCAAATCCGCTTTTAGCTCTTGATCGCACTCCATGGGTGGGCAGCTATGGAGTCATTCGAAGTATTGGGTGTTTTCGGTATGTCTACTGTTACTGTTTTTGTCTATTTTATTTAATAAAGCAATCTCGAATGCAAGGTTGGTTTTACGGCGACTTTTTCATGGAGGATTTCCCAGCGCATCTGGAGTACACTGGTATCTTTAGGTATGATTGGATGAGATGCTTCAGATCCAACGTCTACTCATTGCATTCTTCCTAGATATCTTAATAACCCCGAACTTATGAGTGGCGCCTACTTTCTGGGCCTTGCTTTGATCAGTGGCAGCAAGCTTGTTGGCATGCTTGCAGTCATCAGGTTTGTGTCCCATTGGTGGTTCCTCCAGACCGTTGAACAGTAAGCATCGACCGAAATCCTAGCGCTTCCACAGCAAAGCTGACTACCAGTCGTATTACGACAGCCCCCACATGCAGAAATTATACGGTGACAGTCTTCGCAAGGACGCTGGCTTTGTCAAAGTTATCAAAAACGTTGCTAGCAAGAATGCTCGCCTTTTAGAATCGCGTGCGGGGCGGCATGTACCCGAAATCAAAAGAGTTGCGAAAGAAGTCAAAGGCACTTTCGACAAGGTATTTGAAGAAACTGCTGATGTGGTCGAGGAGTTCCTTGCGAGATGTAAGTGCGAAGTGATTAGGCGTGGTGTTACACGGCACTTATGATTTCGTTGCAGCGAAACCCAAGATATCGGAGGTGATGCAGGAGACCAAAGTTCTTCTCCAACAATCACGGGAAAGACTGGTTATCACGTCAGTATACAGTCCTCAAAATAATGGCTGTGTTTTAACATTCTGTGCTTCAGTCGCGTTGCCCGTGACCTATCATCGTTCGACACAACGAAATACAAGGTGTCGATTGTACCAAGTCAATCCGGCGACAAACGCTTCCATATAGGCGAGTCTATCAAGGTCAACTGGCAAGCTCCTGCCCGGCACTCCCGTCGTGACTGGATCGGAATATACAAAGTGAGTGGCCTTTGTCTCTATCACAAGATCACTCGTGATGAATTCCGCTAGGTCGGTGCCAACAAATCTACGTTGGTGACGAAGATATCATCTAGCGGATTGTGGGTTCCCGTTCATCACGAAGAATGGGATCAGGATGCGCCTGTCGATCACATTAATCGCATTACCACTCTGGGAAAGGAGCCGGAGTTTGGTATCGTCTCATTTGAAGGTCCCACACTCCCATGGACTATTGGTCAATACGAGGTGAGTCACAGCCGTATTATTATTACGCCATATCAACTTATATTTGAACAAAGGTTCGTTACCATCACGATGGCAAGTATAATGTGTTAAGTCTTGACGGACCGTGCGAGGTGTACGGTATGTGTCCGATTCTCGGTTAAACAGATCTTGCATCTGAACAAAATCGTTTTGTAGTGAGCAAACCTGTGGCGCTCGATCTCACCTCCATTCGGGAATACTTGACTTACACTGTACCTCTCTGCCTGGACTCCGATCCTGACCTGATTCCCCTATCTTGCGGAGGTATCCAAGAACCCGCCGACACAGACCCTGCCGTTGCTCGTGACGTGGACGATTTCAGCTTCTGGTCCGAGCAACAGGCCAAACGTATATGCTATGTGATTAAGCAGGCATTTGGGGTCGAATATGCGCCAGATGTGGTTGTGGCTGATGCTAATTTGACTGCGCTTGCCAATCGGATATTGGTCTCGAAGCAATTACTGGTTCTGTAGCCCTTGATTAATGATTCATTTCTTTTTCTCTTTCTGAGTACATTTGGATTACATACCCACGCACCAGGATGTTTTTTCATTCCATGACGACCGAATTATGATCATTCGACTAATGAAAATCGTTTATCGTTTATCTGACTGTTAGCTGCCTTCACCGACACTCTGATCAGCCAGTCCGCAATACTGTCAGAAACAGCCATTATCTTTCCTCGCTTGTATTGTTATGGCAAGGAAGACAGGATTATTATCTCTCCCAGTGTGCTCTTGCTGCTAGCAAGGTGAGTCCATCAATTCCAAGTAATTCACTAGTTTTGTTGAAGATACATTGACCAATGTTTTCAACAGTCATCCATGACATACCATCTTGGCGCGGTACTCGTAAAAGGAGGCAAAGTCATATCAACGGGCTATAATCATCATCGCACGCACTACGACGGAAACGACATACTGAAGCACGGTCATCGCAAACCCACTTCCATGCACGCAGAAATGCACGCCATCTTTAGCTTGACTGGCATGTCTCCTTCATTTAAGCAGCAAGTTCAACTCTCGCTGCGACGTACCGCTGCAGCCAAAAGAAGGCCGCGGTCTGAAACACGTCTCACACAAGCTGGACGTGCCGCGCCCACACGGCAGCGCGTTTTATGAGACGAAAGCACAGTCTTCCCTTCGGAGCCCAGACTCGTGTTGCGCGATTGATGCTGAATTGTCGCCGCCTCGCGATATGCTGCTTGTAGAGCCACCGAGAGGGCGGAATGCACGCCGCAGGGACTCAAAGGTAAACGGTGCAGATATCTACGTTGCGCGCGTCATCAAAAATGGCCTGGGCGCTGCAAAGCCTTGTTGGCGATGCATACACTGGTGCTGGTGGTTTGGTGTGAAGAGGATATTCCATTGGAATCCTGTCATCGGAGATTTCGAGGTGTTAAAAGTAAATGAAGGTTATAAAGATCACTACGAGACGCAAACCGATGTACGACTTTTCGCGCGTTTAGTGAGTCACGTCTTAGTGTTTAGTCCTGGCTTTAATCTGTTTGACAGAAACTACTGAATGAATAATGGAGTTATTCTCTTGCCATGAGCCATGATGAGTCTTTGTCAACCAGTGTACTGTAATGGGAATCTTTGACCCGTGAATCGACTGAGATGGGCAGGCACTGATCCCCGACCGGGAATATCGGTGCCACAGATTAGTTGGAAGGTGTCCACAGAAAGCTTACTGAAAAATAAATGGATACCTTTAGAAAGGCTTGCGAGAAACCGGTGCCTCGTTGGAAACGGTCCGATAGTAAGTGAAGAGGTTCTGATAAGGTCTCACAGTTTTGATATCTCAATGCACTGAGCGAGTCGATACGCACATACAAAGAATTGGACAAACCTCCAAATGCACTAGCATAACATAAATAATTGATGTACTTTCGTTTCATCCTCAGGGGTGAGGGGGAAAGCCATCGCCGCAGCGCGACACTTAGGGCATGAGGGGGCCGTACACTTCGGTTAGTTGCATTTTGTTGAAATGGCAAGCATTTCACGAATATGCTCTCGCAGTTTATTTACACACTATCAGTTTTGATCCCTACTGGATGCCAATGAGTCCACAGATGAGGCATACAAAAAACATGTACTCACCGAATAGACCAATGTGCTGCGATGTGTGCAGAATTTGATGGTTTTGGACCAAATATCACGTGTACAATGCAACCAGATCTGTCTCGTGGGTACGTCAACTCCAATCAAATACCACTTGAACCACTGATCACAGTTATTTGTTAGCGAATGGCGTGATAACCTATGTAAGTCAACGATTCGCTTCCGACGTCGTCCCGGTTCCTCAAAAACTAGGAATTTGACATACCTCGCTGAGGCTCCCCCTCATAACAGAGCGTATACCCATAATCCCAAAGTTCCTCTCTAACCATATCGACCCAAGGTCCCAAGCGCACCTCCATTTGTTTTCGGGGAAGTGTTTAACTCAGTCAAGCCATAGGGATTCCCTTGCTCCAACGGCACGAAGTCAAGTATCCAGAAAGTCAAGTTCTCGGTGATCTTGATTTGTTGGATTGTTTGGGAACCGTTCAACAGCACATCGAGATCTCTGAACCACGACGAGGTCCCTCCCTGAACCTGCTCAAGCTCGGTGAGACGAATTTAAACATCCCTCTTCGGTGATTCAATCCATGGCTATCACAGATGTCTCGTGGACGCGAACCCCAGCTTTTGGGCCTCACATATCATTGGCTACAATGTTCTTGTATTTTCATTTATGATTCATATGATGGTCGCTCTCGGGCTCGAATTTGGCGAAAGCAACGAAAGCTTCATCTTCTTGATGTATAACACTGGAAAATTTCCCTTTCTGACGGGGATCAATGTTTAACAATCAAGACGCACCATAGACATGCAGATGCCTTATACTAGAGCCGTAAGGTGGGCGGCCATGAGACGTAAGACTTGAGCTTGAAAGTTTGTTGAAGAGGTGTAATACTCGCTTCATGTCTCGGTAGGGCTTGAAACTGTGAAGACAAATGTCGGGCGCATGTAGCCAGTGCAGTCGGTTATGATTGGGTGGGATCAATCTTGCTGCAATGATGGCTAACTGCCTCGTGTCTTGGGCGTCTATGGAAACGAGGAAGCTTAGAAGTAACATAAAAACGCACAATACACGCACCTCTGTAACTTAGAGAAAGACACCCACAATCCCTCGGCCGTGCTCAACACCATCAACGTCCAGTAAAATGTCACAGTTCATTCCAAGCACCACACCCATTCGAACTTTTGAAGAATATGGTGGGCCCATGTACGCAGTCGCAGTGTTCCCTGACAAACGACGAATGATTACGGGTTCGAGCAACACGCTTCGTCTTTGGGACTTGGAGACTGGTGTTGTGTTGAAGATGATGGAAGGGCATAACAGTGCAGTGCATGCATTGGCGATATCGCGAGATGGTCAAATAATAGCAAGCGGTGATGACGATGGAAAGGTCATCGCCTGGCACGGAGAAACTGGTGAATCCATCACCCAACCCATGAAAATCCACCCCGAACCCATCAGTTCGTTGGATTTTTCTCCGGATGGTATGGTGCTGGCCACTGCCAGTAATTCATCGGACCGAGCGGTGAAGTTTTGGTGTACGAAAACGTGGCAAATGCAAGGAGATCCAATGGAGTGTGGTTATAACATTGTCGGTATTCGATATTCGCCTTCTAGTGAACTTCTTGCCATCGCAACACACTCCTCTATCCAAATTTATAATCCAGGCACAAGGGAATGTGTCGCATCGTTGACAGGTCGCCGGTTGACCCGTCATGAATCAGATACACAGACTCGGAACACATCACTCGCGTGGACGCCTGATGGCACACGCCTTCTTTCAGGAGCCGGAAATTACATATTGGAGTGGGACACATCAACCTGGCAGCAGGTTGGTCATCGCTGGGAAGGCCACACCAACACTATCACTGCCATTGCCATTCATCCCACTGGCACCCTCGTCGCTTCTGCATCTAACGACAAGCATGTTCGTCTCTGGCGACTCTCAGATCAACGAACCGTCGCCGTCTTCCATCATTCATTGACATTACGAGTGAATTGTGTCACGTTCTCTGTGGACGGCAAGCACATCCTCAGCGGAGGTAGGATCTCAGAGTGGGCAGTACCAAAGGTTGCTCATCTAAATGCAAGTTTCTATCCTTGACTCTCATAACCCAATTCGAGCATCATTTGTGCAGATCCTTGCTATCACAACAGCCCGCGATGAATGTCTGACTGGGGACTTGTCTATCGCTGAAGAGCTTCTCACCCAAGAGATCCTTACCAACGCCAACGACTTTACTTCATATGCCAGTCGTTCGTTCATTATGGCCCGGAAGCACAACTTGGACAACGCCCTTGAGGATGCAAGCAAGGTAAGATGGACCCACTTCTCACGAAAGCCCAACTTTCATCCGTGACATAGTCAATCAACATTGAACCATCATTGATTGGCTTTATCTCGAAAGGCATCGCCCTTTGCGGAAAAGGTCACGTCCGAGAAGCAAGGGTAGCATTCGACGTCGCATCCATGTTCACGAACCAAGATTCAGAAATCAACCTATTTCTTCTCTTGATCAAGGTATATTTAATTCGTTTCCTATGCTATCCGTTTCATCTGGTATTTCAGGCCATCGCACTTTTCAACGCAGATCAACACGAGGAAGCAATGCTGCTCATCAAAGACCTGGCTGCCGTTTGTTCGAATGTCGATCCTCTCGTGTGTCGTGTCGTGGAAGTAAGCATTACGGGGCCACACTCAGTCATCCATCCTGATCTTTGCAACTCGCACAATAGACATATCTACGTGTCCAGCTCGGGATCAAAGCCTCGGATGATGCGCGTCATGACGAAGCTACTGAGCACTTCACTGCTGCTGTTAACTCCACTGCTTTCTCACCGCAATACATTCATTTGATATATGCGGACTTCGTCATGGTTCGTCAAGATGATGTGTACCCAACACTTCTTATAACCTAGTCTTTTGTTCAGCTCTTTGGCTGGGATCTCGAGTCCTTGTTGCTAACTACACACCAGAAACGGTGCCAGGCATTCCTTTCGGCGGGTAAACTCGACGAAGCCCTCGAAGCACACAAATACATGATGGACGCCATTGACGACATTGCGAAGGGCAGCTGTCTCAATTGGTCCAATGGCAAGTCTTCCGTCATGTCACCCACAACTATCATGCTCACCCGCATGTCACTCAGAGTTCAAGGAGAAATGCAGCACGCTCGCTGCGCATAACGACCGTATTCTTGGTGTATGCACCCCGTTCCTCACCTCTTTCGCTACTGACCATTATGCAGGCGGAGATCCCGGGACAAGAGCAAGATGGCTATGATGCAGAACCCAGTTTCTTCTATGAAATGCATCAAGTGCGTGCAAGCGCGTATCTCTCTGTTCTCTCTCGCATCGTTCATTACAGCATTCTCAGATTTCCAGGCCAAGACTTCAACAGCGCCCTGAGCGCCTCAAAAGACTTAGGCTCGCTATGACGAGGAGGCCTCAGGAAGCTCCTACACTTGGACCTGCACCACCCGCCACCTCACCAGTCGCCACCACCTCGCCACCAGTCGCCACCACCTCGCCACCAGTCGCCACCACCTCGCCACCAGTCGCCGCCGCCACCACCACCACCACCTTCAAAACTCACCTACGACACCTATTTACCCTACCACTCCATCATGCAACGCAACCTGTTGTCGACGTTCCTTTTGCCCAAGGTCGACAGGTGCGCTCGGTTATTTTGTCATGACTGTTTTTTGGGTGTCTTACACTCGAATCTACAGCGTAATGCTGCAGCGGGTGCTCCTGGGAGTGAGCACTCCTTGATACGTGATGAAGACCTTCCTTCACAGGATCCCAATACGCAACATCAACATCAACCAGCAGCAGTTCAGGTAGACACCGGCGAACATGGAGGCGGCCTATCCTGTTGCTGCTGCTAGAAGCATTGGTGAATGTCCACGGGGATTTCAGTTTTATCGTTCATATTGTCATGGTATTCACATTGGCTTGAAGCGGTAGTTTGTCGATAAGATCAGCATCTTTTAGCTCACTTTTTGTCCTCCTCCGAGTCTATAGCTGATTATGAACCTTGACTTGCGCATAAGTTACTGAGTTTAGGCAGACCTGAGGCGAAGGAAGACAGTTGTTCTTTCTAGGCTAAAACAACCAGAGGAGTGTCTTTCCAGAGGCTTATCAGCCTCGAGGCAGTATGAAAGAAGTCCCGACGGGGAAGGGGAAGAATCTTTAGCACAAGCGCCGACTGGACTGATTTCTACATTGACGGTACCGGTAAATGCTTGATGGGTTAGATCTGTCTTCCATCGTAGGAGTCAAGTCGGAACTTCATTCTTCAAATAGAAGCAAGACAAACTGGTCTGTCCATCGATAAGGGCGTTGATCACTTGAATCTGGTTCGGACCGCGCCAAGAGTTGGGTCGTCGGCAAATGCCGATTCTGTTTGTATGAAGACCGTCACATCTGAACTTCTGAAAGTAACACAACATCAACTATCAGATCGTTGGCCCAATTACGCTCTTCATGTAAATAACCCCAGACAATTATGCACCGCACTTTTTACTAAATGGTCCTCAACTTCACAGCATGGTCGCAAGCGGCAATGAGGAGACAGCGCAGGATGTCCATACTTCCTCCCTCCCGTACTTACGGTCTCCTTTGCCTTCGATGCATTCCAAACTCCCGCCTCTATCAGCGAATGACAAACCAAGCACACAACTAAAGGACAAACAAGCTATCAAGACACCTCTTTCGTCGGTGGCGGAGCTATGCGGGAATACGCTCCAGCTGGACGCTCACGCGCCTCCATCATCCGTCACAGGGCTGTCGCCTGCTTCGGAACCTGTCAAAACTACTACAACTGAACACTTGCCTGCTACCGTGCCGTCTGGAACGGACGTTACGATCCGACTCCAGACTGAGCTGCTAGCTACCGCCGACGAACTGTATCGCAAGGATATAGATGGTCACGGTGAAGGACGCGCGGGGAAGGCGCCTGAGCGGATTTCAGTAGTGCCGCTACCGCCATTTTCAAAGCGCTTCCCTAAGGCGAATACACAGGAGTTGACAGATGAGGATTATTGGTCTTCGTTTCCGCCACACATAAAAAACTTTGTACGCAGTACTACTCTTAGTCTTACGCGAGGTTTGTTGACCCGCACAAAGGCGCAAAAAATGTACAATATTGCGCAACAGATGGTACAGTCCGATGCCGTGCTGAAGACTGGATTCAGCGCGACTGAAGCTACCACGATAACCGCAAGGGCCAGCATGGACGTTCCAGGGTACCCTCCAGGAACGTATCCGTCGCTACCTTTTGACCCCTCAATTTTCTCCGATCCCGAGTTCACGTTATCGGTAGACAGAGCAACAGCTGCTCTGGGCACTGCTCTACCATCACCTGGCCAATCTCACCCTCCTGAGTTCGGCCAAGAGGAGTTCATCGAGGATGACTACAGTGAAGATGCTGATGCTGTAGACGGCGACATTGAGGATCAAGACCTTGATGAGAACGATTCTGATCTGCAGCCACAACCAACATCAGCTCCGCACGTGCCACATTTCCATGGATCGCTGCCTGCGACCTTTGCGCAGGTAGTTCTGAGCTACGAGGAGACGGTTTTGCGAAGTGGACCGCTTTCGACTGACTTCAGAACTAAGTTATCAATGCCTGCTATGCCAATGCTAGCAGCGCCTGTTGAGGAATTGGTATTTCATAAGAAAAACAAGAAAGTCTCATCTATTAAAATGCCGGCGGTTAGCGCCGAAAGTCCGGCAGTGCCGGGACAGGGAGTGGGAACGATGGGCACGGCACCGGGATCGGCGCTGGAAAAGGGTAGTGGAGGGACCGGTGGAGAATTGAGGAAGCGCTCACTGCCTCTCACCGCCAACGCCATGCCTGCAGCTCGAGCAGCAACAAAAGAAAATATATCTAATCCTCCGCCAAGCTCCCGTGCACAGGGAAAGCAGCCTATGTCGTATGCACCGCCTACAACGACATCCACAGCGACCACGACGACCACCCCAACAACGGCCACGGCCACTGTCAATGGCCAGCAACCAACAAGAACGGCTCGTGCGGCATCAAAGGCGCCGATTCCTGCTCACGCCTACCAGCATAATCACTCTCATCACCATCCATCGCCTCCATCATCCAATGCATCCGTGCCACAGAAACATCGTCCTCCGGCTGCCGCTGCTCCAGGTAAATCTTCTCAGAACAACTCCAAGATCTGGAGCACTAGCTCGACAGAGGAGCGTGAGCGTATCAAAGAATTCTGGCTTGGTCTGGGCGAGGACGAGCGCCGAAATTTGGTCAAGATCGAGAAAGATACCGTCCTCCGGAAGATGAAAGAGCAGCAGAAGCACAGTTGTAGTTGTGCAGTCTGCGGCAGGAAGCGGTCCGTGCTTATTCCTTGATCACATCCACAAAAAAAATTTACTGACCTGCGCGCTTGTCTTTGTGTCTTGTTCTTTCATCGGTGTTGGATATCTGGTGTCCACGCACATATATCATCGATGCTTATAGACATGCGATCGAGGAAGAGCTTGAGGTACTGTACGATGCTTATTACGAGGAGCTAGAACAGTACGCGAACTACCAGCAGCGCTATGTCTCCTCTGGTGGCACTATACCCCCTCCTCCTGGGCCAGGTCCGTTTCCCGGCAGCGTCGAACTCGATAAGAACGGCGCTGTTATCGATCCTCCTCAGAACAAAGTTTCCCATAACCCCCCGCCATCTAATAGAACACCAGCCCTGACGAACGGCCGAAAACCTCCGAAACATGAAAGTGAGTTTGATGATGATGATGGGGATGAAGAGGAGTATGAGGAAGAGGAAGAGGAGGAGTATGAGGAAGACGAGGAAGAGGAGGAGGAGGAGGAAGATCCGGAAGAGGAGGAGGAAGAAGTGAAACCACGAGATCGACGCAATCCCGGTGTTCGCGGACGAAGGCCTGTGAATAACGCGAAGGTCAATGGTCGCGATGGTCTGTTTAACCTTGGAAGTAACTTGACTGTGACTGGTAGGTCCACTCCACCCGTGCATCGTTTCCCCTAATCTCCTGTATAGGTCCAGGTAACATTCTGACAGTTGCAGACGATCTCCTAAAGAACGATGGGCAAAAATTCTTAGAGATGATGGAGCAGCTGGCCGAGCGTCGAATGCAGCGAGAAGAGGAAGCGGCTGCTGATGTTGAAGATGAAAGTGATGAAGAGGACGACGAGGAAGGTGATGAGGACGATGATGACGATGATGAAGAGGAAGAGGACGATGATGACGACGATGAGGAGGTGAGCATTCTTTGCATTCAACCTTTATTATCTCAACATTATTTAGGTGATGACCGAGGAGCAAAAGATGGAGGAGGGCAAGCGGATGTTCTCCATTTTCGCTGCTCGGATGTTTGAACAGCGCGTCCTCCAAGCATTTCGAGAAAAAGTTGCGCAGGAACGTCAAATGCAGCTTCTGCGCGAACTTGAGGACGAGGACAAGCTCACAAAGGAGCGGGAGGCCAAGAAGCAAACTCAGAACCAGAAGAAGAAAGCTAAGAAAATGTGTGTTTCAGCATCGATTTACTGCTTCGTACTCAAAACGATTATTCACAGACTTCAAAAACAAGCCCGCGATGAAGAGCGAGCTGCCAAAGCGGCAGAGAAGGCTGCAGAGGAGGCCGCTTCAAAGGCCAAGCAAGTAGCTCAAGAGGATGCACAGCGGAAGAAACGTGAAGAAGAACGTGCTCGTCGTGAAGCTGCCCGAAAAGCTGCAGATGACGAGAAACAACGTAAAGAGGAGGAGCGTCGTAAACGCGTTGCAGAGGAAAAGGAGCGGGAGGCCGAGCGAGAACGTAAACGCAAGGAGAAAGAAGAGAGGGTCAAGCAGGAGCGCCGTGAGCGGGAAGAAAAGGAGCGCAAGGCCAAAGAGGAGCGGGATGCCAAGGCTGCTGCTGAAAAGGCTGCCCGAGATGTCGCCCGAAAGGAGCAACAAGAGAAGGAAGAACGCGAGAGAAAGCTTGCCAAAGAACGGGAGGAGAAGGAGAAAGCGGAAAAGGAACGGGCTATTCAACAGCAACGAGCTGGCAAGCACACCCGTCCACCAACCTCTCCCCGTCCGCCAGCCTCTACGCAACGCACTCAGAGTAACAACGGTCCATCTAAGAAAATTCTTAGCAAGCCCATCCCTGTCACTCCTACTCCGTCCGGAAGTACACCACGACCGTCACTGCAGCAGACACCACAGCAACCGCAGCGTCCCATGCTGTCTAATTCTCAGCCTGCAACTCCTGTGGCACCCTCCGTGCAAAATCATTTTCCGCCGTCCACCGCTCCTCATTATCCTATCGCTCCTAGCATGATACCTCCACTTTCCGGCCCGTTGTCCCCTCGTCTACCCTTTGCACAACCCCCACCTCCATTCGGACTGTTCGGTCCAGGTCCATCAATGCCACCACCAGGACCTCCTCCGAATCTCGGTCCATCCGCCCTTCCTCGCAATTTTGGCTCACCTACTTCCTTCGAGTCAGGCTTTAGCCGTCCTCTGGCCCCGACAATACCCATTGGACCACCTTCGAAGGTTTCGCAGAACCTTCTTGGCTCACCAACCATGCTGGTACCAGGGCCTGTCGCACGGCCGGTTTCTATTGCTCCAATAGCGCCACCTGCACCTATCGCACCACCTGCACCTATTGCGCCCCCTGCACCTATTGCAAGGCCAATGACAGGTGAGACATCTGGGTCAGGCTCAGGTTCTCCCAGTCGTCGCTCTCCAAGTCCGAAAGGCGTCCTTGGATCTTCTGCTCTCGCAGATGATGATGACGAAGTTGTTCCTCCGCCAGGACGGCGCATCGCGCCGGGCGCAGTGGGTCAGTCGTGGGGCACTAATACCAGTCCACGGGCCGTCATTGGGGATAACCGGCCTCCTTGGGGGGCACCCGCGCCCCCAGGGTTTGGCTCACCTCGTCCTCCGATTGGGCCTTCATTGTGGGGAGGCGTGAACCCCACGTCTGATTGGCAGGCACCTGGGACATTCTTTCCAAATTCTTTCGTGACTCATATTAACTCATCCCCGCCCCCTCACGCAGGTTAACTTGAATATCACTGGCGGGTAGTCTTTCGTTTTGATTCCTCTTGATACGCTCCCTAGTGTTATTCTCTTTTGCTCTATTTGCATCGAGGTTTACGATCAAACAAGCAGAAATACATTATAAAGATGTCAGATTTGGAGTGATCGTCAAGTTACATGGTGCATAAGTATTATAGCAACTTGCTCGACGCTGCGGGAGCGATTCTACTACGGATGAGCTTGATGACATACAGCGGAAGCGCGCTGACAGCTACGATGACAGCTACTTTCCATGCAAAACGAGTGGACACGACAAAATCGAGGTCTGCAGGGGACGATGAGTAACCCCCGAGATTGATAACGGGAACCCGCACCGAAATACTCCGGTAAGAAAGCGATACTGATAACATAAAAGAAAAGGGTAACTACTTCCGAAATGACCATATAAATATGCCTGTCACTAGGGATCAGAGCGTGTCCATCAGGAAAATTGTTGTAGTTCTTACCAGGTCGTAATTTCTAGTGCAACCATGATAAGTTCGTTGATGACCAAAGCCGTAAAAGAGATGGACACGATGTTTAAGAACTCGGTTTCAAATAAGAGGAGGGACATGATCATGATGGCTGCGCCTGCAAATACGACTATCAACTCAGGGAATGTGGGGATGAAATAAACGGGCTAACCTTGGTATACGCTAATCATCAACCACTGGAAGAACGTCTTGAAAGATAGGGCACGGCCCTACACCCAGAGGTGTCAATAAGCCATAAACCTATTCACACAACCACCAACCTTTGTCAGTTCTTTGTATAACTCCGGGTATATCAACGCAAGATCCTCGTTCACATCACGATCCAGAACCAGCGAAAAAACAGGCGCCATCGTATAAATCGTCGCATACCCTACCATCAACCACCCCTGGTACAATGCAATCGGGGCAAAATAGAAGATAGCCGAGAAAACGGCTTGCATGATCGAAATGATCAGGCCACGGTGGATGACGAATTGAGCTAGCTTTGCAGAACGGCGGTATGAGTTGCGGCCGTGCCACATGAGGAGCTTCGTGAGGTAACTGAACTGGGTGACAGAGAAGTCGGCGGCGAGGGATGCTTGCTTTCCTTCTTTTCCAACGATGCCGACACCTGCACCCATCAAGGTTTGAAACTTCCGTTTGGAATCAGTACTGAGGACTCACCAACGTCAGCGGCTTGTATCATGCTGACATCATTACCGCCATCTCCGATACAGCAAACCCGTTTCTTAGTGTGATGTCGGATTAACCTTGCGACATCTGCTTTCTGCGTAGGAGAGCATCGACAAGCAACGACAGCCGATAGCTTGGTTGTGATCTCGATGAATTCATTCTTGTACAGGTTCAAACAGAGCTGAGTGGATGGGGTGAGCGCAGTACAAATACGTGTCCAAAGAAAGCAGCACCTGCAACGACTCGCCATCAATTACTAGACAGCAATCCAGCTTTGACTGTAAAAACTCCAGCTCGTCCCTGACTTGATCAGAAGTCTTCACTACAAACTCAAAGCATGAACGGTGGAACAAAGACGTATGGATCAGAAAACTCACACTTGGCTACCTCGTGAATATACTGATTCCGCGCCACCAGTTTTGTCGAAATGGCAATGCACCGTGCCGTCTCGATCTTATCGCCCGTAAGCATCCAAATCTTGATTCCCCCATTCCTGAGCAGCTCAAGCGTCCCTTTCACCTCATCCTGCAGCTTATCCTCGACACCGGTCAGGCCAAGCAGCTCCAGGTCATGCTCCAAATGCTCCGCAACGACAGAAATCATCGCCTCGCTGCGTCCATCAAGCCGGATGCTAGCAGCATGATGCGCAGTCTTGAACGCCGCATACTGCTGTGACGTCAGCCGCTTACGTGCAACGACGAGCGTGCGCAAGCCCTCGCGCGCCATATTCCCCGTCTCCTCTTCCAGCCAGTCATTCCGCTGCACGATACGAGCCATAACGACATCCGCGCCCTTTTGCAAGAAAAGCACCTCACCGTTGTGTGCGTCTCGTACGACGATGCCCATGCGCTTGGACTCACTTGTGAAGGGGAATATGTCGAGGATGTCGTAGGTGAGACGTGCGTGGGCGGGCGTTTGGAGCTCCATGCGTGTGCGGTCGCGGAAGACAAGCTTGAGGCCGACGCTCTCTGTCCACTTGACGATTGCGACTTCGTCTGGGGAGGAGGCTTGGTAGGTCAAGGTGCCATCGTCGTTGGTGACTGGAGTGACCTAGGTTCCTAGGGGTAAGTTGGAAAGGAGGGAAAGGGAGGTGACGTACATTGTGGCAAAGTGCAAGACTAAGCACTACGTCTCGGAGTCTTGACGACATATCCCTCCGTCCTCTCATGGCAAGTTGTGCGCCTGTAGCTATTGAATTGCTTCTTGCATGAGCTACATTGCGTGACTGTCAGTTCATCCGTGATGAGAAGAGTGGATGTGTGGACTACGAGCCTTGATCAGCACCAAATGCACTCGCAAGCTGGTGAGCAACTTCGTCCATGCTGTCAAAACCATAGGACATAGTTCCCATGTGCAGCTTCTTCATCTCCATTTCTAGAGTGTCCGTCAGCCATCCGTGTACACCCAAGAAAAATACAATGGGTAGAAGGAGGCAATAGGTAGAAGAGAGAAAAACCAGTTTCACACACCATTTTGCGTAAGGGTTCCAGTTTTGTCGCTAAGAAGGTACTCTATGCGGCCCAGCTCCTCGGGCAGTGTACTCGTGCGGACAATTGTGCCAGGAATCTCAGAGTCATTCATTATTTGTTGTGCGTAGACCGTCTTGCCCATGTCAAGGTTTACACGCAAACTATGTTTGTAGTAAGCACGACACATAAGAGAAGCGATAGAGGGAAGAGAAAACGTTGGCTATATGCGCTCGTCTTCCGCGGAGGGCAGACATACCTGATGGGGATGATAGACGAAAACAATATGAGGAAACGGAACACATAAATATACCACTGTCCCCTGAACCCATTCAACGCAACGAGTCCAAACGATAACGCGAACGTCACCGCACAAAGAATCTGTAGGTGGACTGTCATGAATATTCCCCCTAACACAAGTACGTACGTGCATACCTTGGCAAGTCTATTGATCTCCAGATCCAGCAGACCGACCTTGGTCTCAGGATGGCTCGTGTTCATGACAGCGCGCGTCTCAGACCCCGTGTATACAATGAATCCAACAGCAGAACCCGCAGCTAATACTGTGTTGCTCCATAAGACATTCTCCGCAGACAGGGGTTCAACAGTGGGGACCTGTACCATGGGCACATCATGAACAGAGTGCGTGCGGGGCGTGTGTATCGTAAATGTCCCAATGAAAGTGTGAATGTCCTTGATTGGAGCGTCGGCTGGAATTCAAATAAACATCCAGAGGTGAAGAGGGTAGGATGGGCGAGCACACACCATAAAATTCTGCATCCAAATCTAGTAGTTCACTGTCGTTGACAAGCTTCTGAGTAGCGGGAACTGCGACACGAAGCTTCCAGTCTGTCTCTCCATCGAGCTGGTCAGTTCGGATGAAACACGTTCCAGAAGCATCGCTCGTGCGCAAAAGGACCATGTCTGCCGGTACGCGCTGATTCTTCTCCAGTACGACAAGGTCGCCCACCTGGAGGGAAGAGGAGGGGACAGAGCGTGTATGCGGACCGCTGTCGGAGGAGGGAACAAGAGTGAGGTATTTCTGGGAATTTGCTTCGCGGTCGCGGAGATTGCGCTTGTAGTCATCATAAGCTTCTTTCCCCATTGTGACGCAGAGCACGAATGCGAGGGGTGCGACATATGTGACAATAAATCCTGGGCACACATGAGGCGGTACAGTACCAGCATAAGAGGAATAAGCATACCGATCTTGAGTGCTGGAACGAACTGGGAAAGAGCGACGAGAAGGAAGTAGAGATTGAAAAAGAACTTAAACTGTTCGTATATGACGATGGGAAAGAAAGTGAATATGTTGTATTTCTGGTTCCGTACGAGGTTGGGCGGGAACTTGGATTGTAATTTTTCTGCAAAGTTGAGTCAATAGTTTCGTAAAACAAGGAGAAGATGTGTACCTGGTGGTCTGAATGGTATTGTCCTGGACTTGTCCTGTGTCTTATGTATACTCGACGGACGCTGTCCCGATGAACGCTGTCTCCACGTAAAACTTGTGGTGCTTTGCAGATAGACAGACAACTCACCCTGGACGGTCGTTTCGACTGTTCACCTACATTTCCCTCTTCAACCTCTTCCAGCGTACTGTCCCTGTTCCCAAGTAAAGTCGCCTCTTCATCGAACTCGTCTGCGTCTGTATATCGTTCGCGCTGTTTGCCCTTCACCTTTACAGTCAAGTTTACGTTGCGTGTCCCAACAGCTCTCAGAACGCCCGTGGGCATATCGGTATCCTGGGCGTCGTTCAAAGGAACGTACCCGGCTCGTGTCTTTCCTTTGCGTCCGAGAGAGTGCAACGGGATGTTAGACATCAACGTCGACCCGAGGCCAGTCCCACTCAAAAGTCGAGGTTGCAAACCAGGTAGTAGATGCCGCCTGATATATGACGATTCGATGAAATGTGACGTCAAGAAGTAACTGGCAAGAAATTGGGGCGCAGGAGAGTGGTACTGCGCTTTTGCGTAAAATGAAGTACCGTTCTCAGACAGGCTCAGGCGCCGCTAATGAGCAAAGTTGCTGTCGATATAAACGACAGTGGTATAACGCGTGGATCAAGCAACCATGTGTATATGTACGTATACTTAGTAGCTATGATTAGTCTAGTACATGCTTGTTCAAGACTTCGAGTTCTAGAGCTTCTAGAATCTAGGCCCGAAAGTTTATCGGAAAACCGGCAGTATCTCGGACATCGTATCCGAACGCAAAGTCAAAGTTGAAGGAAGGAATATTTTTTCGCTAGCACATAATGTAAAGCGATGGTCTATCAATATTATCATCTAGTTCAAAGGCCAAGTTCATCTGTGAACGGTAATGCCTGCACACTCCCAATAGCAACAAAAGTGGGCTTGGATTGCGTGATCGCGGCGACAGACTAGATAGGTGTTTCAATATATCCTTCACACAAAATGAAAAAGAAAAGTACACACCCTCGAGAATGCAGCAGCATCAATCTTATCTATCGATGCTAGCGTAGCTTCGATCGAAGCATCCGAGTTTGCAAAGACCTATGATCATGAAACTTCCTCAGACGTTCTAAAACCACGACCACATGTATAGACGCACCTTGGTACTGAGAGCGCCGAGAATTCCATCACGACCATCTAGAGAGCTAGCAGCAGCAAATTTGGCTTTAGCCACTGCCGTTTTAAGAGCATCACCATTGAGCCCGGTCGATTCCTTCAATGCATTAGTAGCAACTTTGGCAGCCTCCTTCACCCCTTCGGGGCTCGAGCCCTGGACAAGCAGACCGAAAAGCGTTGCATCCGAATACGATATAAGAACAGGCTGCACCGACGTGCCCTGCGGGATGGCAGCAGAAATAGGCGAAAGGCCCTGCGACCACTTGACAGATGGCTGAGGCGAGAGGTGCGCCGAAAGGATAGCAAGCGCGGGGTCCGCGGGACCGGCAGCACCAAAGCCAATGAACACCGTCTCAGGACCCCCATGCGACTCCAGCCGTGTCTCGCCACCAAAGTACGTCGATGGTTTACTCTCCACAGCCACATTGCCGACAGATGCGCCTGCAAGCGCTTTCTCGACTAACTGTGTGAGCGCAGCTGAGTCGATGCCAGTACCCAAGACAGCGATGTTGCCTTTGCTAAATGCACGAGCTGCAAATTCCTTGACATCGTCAAGGGAGACATGACTGTGTGGGGATGCGAAAAGGGAGGAACCGAGGCCAGAACGGAAAGCGAGCGAATGTGCGAGTTCGAGTGCGTGCGTTGCGGGGTTTTGCGAGGCAGCAGTGCTCTCGGCTTCAACTACAGGGAGAACGTACTCTTGGAATTCATGTCGCTGGAACTTGCTAGACGTGAGGAAGGAAGACATGAGGTCGACGAAGAATGACCTGTAAACATCAGTCACAGTCATTAAAATCAACACATAAAATGCTGCATGTAAGGAAACGGACTCATCACCACGCAAGAACTCGGAAGTGAGTGCCAAATATTCACGAGACAGACTTGCAGAAAGGACGCCACCGTACAATTCACTCTCTCTGACCGTGCCCAATGCCGACCTTTTGGCAGTGCTCTGCAAAGACTGCTTCAGAGCGCGTATTCAGAATGGAACATGACACGCACCTTGAAAGCAAAGTTTTTCAGCGTATGCGCGACACCAGGTTTAGGCTCGTATCGGCTGCCAGCCTTGACGAGGAAGGTGACAGCGGTGGTGGGTTGACCGTTGTCGATGGCTGCTACCTTGACCCCGGCATTGTCGATGACAGTGGCGAAGCTGCGCGCGAAGGTCGACGCTCTTCTTGCAAGCATTTGTAGGGATGAATGAGCTTGGACAGAACGGACTCAAGTTACACTGTGAGCGGAGTTGGCTCGAACAAACGGTAGATTCCGTGTTCGTCCGAAATTTTGCTATGTCCGCACCGGAAGGTTTAGGTTGGAGCCTTGGAGGTAACCTCAGTGCACAGTAGTTGGGAATCACAAACACATCAACATTGCATTACAACCTACGAAAGCAACCGAAAACAGGTAGGTAGGAAAACATGAGCACGCCTGATAGCAAAAGTACACAACAAACAAGAAAGCAACCAAGATAGCAGTCACCAGAAACTGAAAGCATAAGACAGCATTTAGAAAACAAACATCAAAGATCCGTTACAGCTTCTTCGCCCACGCGGTGTGGTAAACCCCAACCAACCCGGGAACGCGTTCTATGTCTTCAATAAACCCAGTGACAAGGGAGTTAATCTCCTGCTGGGTCATCCCTGCCTCACGGAGCATGGGCTTGAGGCTCTCCGCGAAATCCTTCAGGGCGGCCAAGTACATCTTGCCAACACGTTTCATGACCAGATTGTGGTGCCAATCACCGACGGGGATATGGAACGTCTGGATAGTGGGCACGGTGAATTGACGAGATTGCTGAATGAAACCAGGGATGCTGTCGGCAATGGGAACCAAGTGGCGAAGCTCCAGGGAGCGGTTAACCACCTGAAAGAAGCTTCGCGCACGAGGTGCTTGGTTCAAGGAAGATCCATGGGCAAAGTCGATGGAGCGCCCAATCTCGCCGGAAAAGAATAGACCGCCGGGACGGAGCAACCGAGCAACTTCCCGGAGGAGTTCTGGGTAATCCGTAACCTATTCATGATCAATGAATAAAAGCAACGTGGTGATCAATGAACAACGTACAGCTAGATCGATATTACGAGCATGAATAAAATCCATAGCTCCATTGCCCCATCTGAAACGTTCCGTGATATCGTGGATCTCGAATTGCACATGTCGCAAGGGACGCCTAGTGGCGATCGGAACTGGGCGGAGGGGTAATTTGAAACTATTCATCTTACGCGGGTATAAGCAAGCTCACCGATATCAAGCCCGTAGATCTTGACACGGGGAAATAATCTGGCCATATCCATCGGCCTGCAGGAAGGTTAGCGTAAGAGAAGCACACATCGGAAGTTGATCAATAGATCGCGCACCAACGGCCTGTGCCAGTGCACAGATCGAGCACACGTTTTTGCCTGGGGCGAGCATCGTTGAGTACCTCGGTCACTGGGCCAAGGTAGTGGAACTCGACGGTATCGCGCAAGATTCTATGAAGATTATTCAACCTCTAATGAAAAATGGGTGATTTTAATTTTATGGGTTGCGTGGCACCTACTGCTTGCTCCGGCCCGTCGACAGGCAATGGATACGGCAAGCTACCATGAGAATGGAAGAGCCTTCCGTCCCTTTCGAAAAAGTGGTCCGGAAAGTCGTATTCCTCGAGTTCTGTCACGTCAGAGGACGCGTCAGAGGCATCGTCTTCATCTGTGAATTGAAGGAATGACGAGTGAGGGAATGCCGCCTGGGGATATAAGCGTTGAACTGACCGTGCAGCATATTCTCAGTATACTCGAAGGTCATGAACAGGATGTCGCAGCGATGAGGAGACGACTGCGCGACAACTTGATATGATGTGATAGTTGTTGGCAAGACGCCGAAATTGGACCCCGCTGCAATCCCTGAGTTTTATACCGATAGTAACTCAGCGAAACAGGGTAGAAGGCTAAACACGAGGTCAAAAACAAGCGGTCTTTTTGAGTCCAGGTTGAGATGGGAAAGGATCCACAATAACGTGTCAGTGTTGGTAAATGGGGAGTGTCAAAAGCTGTATTTGCGAGCTGGTCGGTGGGTTAAAGTCAGGTTGAAGTCAGCGGCTGCCAGGAAGGGAAAAGAAGGTTGGCCAGTTGATGGGGAGTAGAAAGGCCACGCAGGCACGCTCGCTCGAGAGAGGAAAGCAAAGACCGAAGAGCGGCATAGGTGATGCATAAGTATCAGCTGAGGAAAGATGCCAATTTCGAGAGAGGAAAAGACAACAACAACAGTTACGTGATAAGCTGAACTGCCTCAGGTGACCTGCAAAATGGCAAGGGACAATATCAACTTACAGGCAGAGATACCATCTTCGGAGTAGATCTTCAATTGCAATTGATACGGTCACAACAAAAGCGCCTTAGGCCCGTGTCGGACTAGGCTTTCATTACTGAATAAATTGTCATTGGGCAAGTCAATGATGCGCTTCTCAGGCTCACTGTAAAAAAAGCCGCCTCATTAGTGGACGGCGCCTACTTCTTGCCCTAGTTTTTGGCAAGCCTGCCGTTGTCCGAGTCGATGCCCAGGGCTACTTTAGCGCCACATGAGAAGCAAATTCACCCGGATTCAGCTTCCTCAGTATTCATGCTGGCTTGGGGATATATATCATTGATGACATGGCTTTTGTCCTACGGTCATTATAACAGAGCATTTTTGGTGAGTCACGATAATATTTGTCTGACAAGCTAAAAGCTGCTGACCGTGAGCATCCCTCACCGGAATGATTCAGTTCGTGGGATTTGCCAACTCCCCGAGTTGCCGCATTGCAGCCATACTGACAGCACACCTGCCAGCAAAGTGCTTGGTTCACGTTATCTGTCGCTTTCTTGACGCTTGAAGGCTCCCGTTAATCTGCCAACTGGAACTGGTCAGGCCCATCTAACGGTGGATACTGTTGTTTTGTCTCGGGAGAAAGTTGATTATTTTTTATTTACCTTGGCAGAAGCATCCCCGCGACGCGAGACACCGATCACGTGCATGTCCATGTGTGTTCTGTGCCTTCCATAAAAACGTCCACACAGGGAGGGAGTACTAGTGTGCTTCATGCCAGCCATCCCACCATACTATCCCGGTTGGAATTCACTATGCACGATATCAATGCATTTTTCGCTGAGCAAGAACAGCACATGAACCTTCCTGACGAGGACGTGGATGAATATATTCGTGCACGATTGGAAGATTATCGTAGGAACAGGTACGCGCTCCATTCAATTGGCTCCCTTCTGCCAGTCCCCCTGAGTAGGATAATTACAGAAGTCATGTTATCGATCACGTTATTCTCGCGCAAGGTCACCCACGCAAAGTTGATACAGGCCCTGAACCATTTCTCAATTCTGACAAGAAAGGGGATGAACAGCATATCTCTGACAAAGAAGTGCCCATGCAGTACGTTTCACTTACCTTCTCACGTAGCTCTTGCAAATCTGAGATCATCTGTTTTACAGATTGAAGCGCAAACTCACAAAACCCGAACTTCGAGCCCAGGGAAAGAAGCCAAAGCTATACGAGATTCCCAACGTGACCACGTCAGGAGCACCCATGCTACCTACTGTTTTCTCACGTAGTGACAATGCTGAACATGCTGCAAAGTAGGTTGTGTCGACCCTTGTCTCAATTTCGGATTAATCAGTTCATCCCTCAACTAACACATTTGGACACAGTCACGCTATAGCTTCTTCAGTCAAATCACGAAGCAAAGGCAAAGGCGTCAACCAAATTCCGCAACTCACGGCTCGCCGAAATGGGGATGCCCCAGTCGAAACTACATCGTCTTCTTTTATCCGGTATACTAACTGCGAACCGGTCGATGCTTCGTCTATTGCGAACTCTTCGCGAATCCCGAGCTGCAACGTTGAGTCAAGCGCTTATGAACATGGGGCAGCCAAGCTACCCGTAGTTGGATCTGGATCTCATATCACGAAGCCCACGATGCACCACGAAGGCGATAGTGACGCCAAATATTTGTCGCCAGCGAGATTGATGCCCCATGATACCACTGCACAAACCCGCAAATCAAGAGTTGCTAAGCTAGTGGCACATGATGCCATCAACGAAGAGCCCACAAATGGCAACAGTCCGGAAGCTCGCATTTTAGATCATTATCACGAGGCATCAGTTGAGAACGAGAAGTTCCAGTCCTTTGCGCCAGAACTTGGCATGCCCAATCCACAATCAGAGTTACTAGAACCCTCACCCACGAATACCAGCAATATGACGAGCCCCAGAAATTCCCCTCTTGGAGCATCACGCCACTCGAGTATCCCATCATCAGATCCAGGGGGCATTCCACCCTTGTCCAGAGCGACAGTCGTTAAACATCCGAAGGTCCGGAAGACTGTGAGCAGCTCGAGGAGCAAAGCTAATATTTCAAAGCAAAATAAAGACCAGAAAAATAAAGGAAAATCAGCGCTCGTTACTCCTTTAGAATATGCGCAGAAGTTGAATTCTGACTTGCCAAAGAAGCGCAAGTCTGATTACCTCAAGGGAAAGCAAATACTGTATGTCGGTGGGGACATGCAGTATGCAGGCGTCCTGACGCGTGGTCGCATGGACTACGTGAGTTTCCCATGTTTTGCTCACCCTGACCCCTATTACTGGAGACTACTTCCGTATTTCCCGGTCCGCTATTCACGCGTTATCATGTTGTGGCGAAGAAGCTCCGCCTTCAACGCTGACATGCATTACGTATCAATCTACGCGCTGACCGTCGATTAGTCAATGCCGTTGAGTAATACGTTTCTGACAAAAAGGTTTTCAGATCATCAAGCATGGTGGCACCTTGGTACCATCGTACGACCCTACTACCGTAACTCACATCGTGACGGATGCGACAACTCGCCCGACCCTGAAAGCCCTCGGATTAAAATCGTTGAAAGAGATCCCTGACAATATCCCAACGGTCACTTGGAGTTGGGTAATATCCGGGTATGGTCGTTTGGGCTACAAGCTCAGGGGCAAACACGATGAGGAAGCAAATGATACGAAAGGCAAGGCTAACGCCATAGATGATGATGAAAGCCTTCTCGATTTCGAATTTCTACACGCGGCATTCCCTCAACGCATCCATGCCGGTAGAAGCTGGCAGAAGAGAGGACAGGGAAATTTGGTTCAGACAAAGGCACAAGTAACCGCATCTACGGACGACCTTGGTGGAGATTCCAGTCACATTTCGTACGCCTGCTGCCAGTTTCACTCCGACCATATTTTAATACCATCACATTTCTCAGCTCCTTCACTGAAGATCATCTAACAAAAAATCAACAGCCCCTAGCGGCAATGCTAGTCGTTCTTCCTCCTGCACCCCATACATTTGTTCCCACGGGGAAAGCTTCCAGCACAGCCCGTCATAATAATGACCAAAGCAATCACAAGCCACAGTCTAATACAGAAGACCCTCTTGCTGAATTTTACGAGAAAGCGAGGGCTGAACGAGAGCAAGCTGTAGGTCGTAACGTCAAGCAAAAACGTCTCAACTCAACTATCTCCAGAGAGGCCTCGGACAGAGCGAGACCGACGAGAGCGATCAAGAAAAAGAATTTTCGAAACCAGCACATGTTCCACGGCGGGTGAGTGGCTCTATTCGAAGTCCCTGAATTAATTTCGAATATTATGCTCCTAAAGGGTTTTACATGCGACCGAAAGGAACCTGAGCAGCGTGGATGCATGAATCAAGATATCATTGAAAAGGTTTGCATCTACATTTGGCATTATCTGCAACTGATGGAACACACGAACAGCTGGAGGAACTTATGGAGTTGCACAAGGCAAAACTAGGTGAAGATGATCGTTGGCGAGTGTACAGCTACTCGAAATGTACGCAATGTTTGCAGCAGAATCATCAGTGCTGATGATCCTGGTAGGTATTCGTGCCTTGCGCAATTATCCAAAGAAAATCAAATCATTCAACGAGGCCCGGTCAATCACGGGCGTCGGTGAGAAGACTGCTCGAAAGGTGTGTATCCACTGACGCACATTGACGTTACATTCCCATAACACGTGTTTTGCCAGATCATGGAGATCATCGAAACCGGTGATTTGAGACGCATTGGCTACGAAAAAACGGATGACGTCGAAGCCGTTAACTTATTTCAGGGGATATATGGAGTCGGTATGGAAAATGTCCGCTCTTCGTTTGTCACCTTCTGATCCGTTGGCACAGGCCGACAAATAGCTTATATGTGGTATAATAACGGATGTCGGACGCTAGATGATGTTCGAGCTCGGAAAGGTGGCATTAAATTATCTCACGCGCAGGAAGTTGGTTTACAATTCTATGATGGTCGGCCCTTCGTGTTCACTCCTATCAGTACATGACTGATTTTTTGTTGTCAGATATCAATGATAGAATGCCACGCAGTGAAGCAGAGAGTATCTTCAACTTAATTAGACCCATTGGTAAAGATTCACATTACGGGCTTTCACGACCCATTGATGTGATACAAACAGCTCTTGAGCTCGATGAGCACCTTTACATTGATATCATGGGTAGCTTCAGAAGGTTTGTGATGATTTACTTCTGCTTGCCTTACCCTCACGTTCTTCGATAGGGGCAAAGCTACTTGTGGCGATATTGATATCATAGTGACTCGACCAACCTCAGATGGGATAACACATGCAGGTGAACGCTTTTGCCTTCTCCTGACTTGATGTTATTTTACGAGGAACATTGATTTAGGTCTTCTTCCGGAGCTGCTTGCCCGTCTGCATGCTGCAAAGATCCTGACAGAGGATTTGGCATTGCCTGATGATTTTTCCGCTCTCGAATTATGTTATCGTGGATTGTGTAAGCGTCCCGAACCCGATGCAAAGCATCGACGCATCGATATCTTATGTGTTCCTTGGGAAAATAGAGGAGCAGCCCTCCTTTACTACACGGTAAGTAACTCGTCTGTCTGCGCTCGATGTTATAACGAGTTCATTTAATTGCAGGGCGATGACATTGTAAGCAATTTGAATAACTGCTGTATGATAAGTGATGCAGACATGTACCGCTACAGTTCAATCGGGCCATGAGAATGAAGGCAAATGTTCTCGGGTATTCTCTCAATCAACGAGGTTTGTATGGAGGCGTGGTTCGAGACCCCCGGAACAGACGTGTCAAGATTTCTGAAGGTGTGTCCTGCAGCTGCAGTTAGGTTTGCCTCATTTTCAATGTCTTTCAAGGCAACATTGTTGCGTCTGAGACGGAAGAAGAAATATTTAAAATTCTAGGTGAGAATCAGCTCACGTCGACATCGTACTGGTGACAAACGAAGCTATAGGGGTACCATGGCAGGAGCCGCATGAACGTGTACGGGGTTGAAGTGATGCAGTTGAGCTCTTGAACTTTACGCCTTGAATGAGGTCGATGAACTTCCATGACTCGTACTCAATGTTACCAGAAGACGGGTAAAGTCTTGGGGATCATGGGCAGCATAGACTTCATTATATGCCTTTGACTGGCGCTATGATATAAACAACGAACGATCTTCAAAGGCTTGAACGGATCATAATTACTTATCTCAGTGCGGGCTCCGGATCCACAGGACGACAATGATCGAGGATAGAAGCCGCAGCAAGAACATGCGGAAGAAGGGCAGTGCGATAGGCATATAAGCTGTATCCTCACAGCTTCCATAACCAGATATCCGTACATCCAGTGTTTTCCTTTCGAATTTTCGTGAACGTTGCAGAAGCGGCTTCAAATTGAATGTACAGGTGCCCAATCATTGAAACATCCAGAACGGGGCGAAAGGCATGAGACACGTCCAGTGAATGAGCATTGCATACACTCGAATTAGCAACATGTCATACAGAAAGGTAGCATCTAATAAGAAAGCTACCTGACTCGGATGTTGAATTGACGTTGATTTTTCTTTGTGTATCTAATCGCAGTGGATTCTGAATTTTTGGTCACGGTGAAACATGTCAATATTTTACCAAGGCTTCGCCCTGAATGGGTACGAGCTGACCTAAAATAGTACGACGGGGTAGATGCTTCTCATGCGGGCAGTGACATAAGTTCTTCAAGTTAAAAGACATGTCTTTGGCTCAAATTTGGACACACGCATGATGGTAGCATCGTGAAGTTGTTGATCAACCAACTTGTGCACTGTGCACTAGTTCACTCATTATGTGCTTTTACTGAAAACTTGGTTGATAATAGTGCCACTGCACAGTCTGCATGGTCAACATGATAAAAATACCCGAAGCACTAAGGTTGGATACTATGTCCCGCTAGTGACAGAAAGAACGGACTTGGCCAGTCGTTTGAAAATATGGATCTCTCTCGCTGCCCAGATGAACCACGATATGAACACGGTAACGACCACGCACCCGCTGACGATTGATGCCAGCATGGCCGTCGTTGTAAATTTGAAGACGTTGTACAGAAGGCCGATTGCGAAGTAGATCATCCTGGTGAAGGGCACGTTAATCAATTTCCCTGATCAGATGATATCGATCCACATACCCCCACATAAGCATCGCATACGGGAGACTGTGAACAGTAGCGAGGGCTCTCACTCCAAAAAACGTGCCTGTCAAATTCGACAGGAATTCAGCCTAAGCGAACTAGTTAGTATAGCAGGAATGGAAGTAGGGGCGACGGCTTGCCGCTTTTTCGGCTGATTCAAAACCGTATCTCTGGTTCTGACGCGCCAGAAGGACTGAGGCAATCAAGGAGCCGGTGATGAAGATAATAGAGAGATAGGTAGCAATGATTCCAATCGACTGTGACTGGTCAATGTTCATGTTCGGCACTGCGAGGAAACTGACGTCTACGGCTAACATGACGGTTGACTGGGAGAAATCAAGTTATGAAGCCGAATGGCGACTTGAAGATACGCACATATATGGTGATCCCAGTCCACTCCGCCATGAGTTTTGTGTTGAAGTCTTTCCACCGCGGCATGTTGATACACTCATCCACCCATACCCTTCGAATATCGTTCAAGTGCGCTCGCGGTGCCCAAAAAAGCATGGCTTCGAAAACTAGAGAAAATGGAGTGGTCAGTGGATGAAAGCCTGCATCCTCTTCATACACGGATTTGTCAGCATCGAGTCGAGCACAAGGTAGGCCGCAGAAGTTGAAAAACTTGGCTCTATCTTCAGAATGAATGAGCAACCTGAACCCGGCGGTGAAGTGGAGAACGTACAGAAATACTGCATGAATCTAGCTATTGATAAAATAATGAAAGTCAAAGGTGATTACACCGTGTGCATAGGCTTTTCTTACCAATGATGCAAGTGGAATGAGGGAAATCTTTTTCTTCAGCGTTCTCTGGAATTGCATGATTTCAATCATGGACGGTTCTAAAGAAGTTTTCGTACCTTGGAGGTGATTGATCAGCTCCAAAATTCTGGAGAGTTCATCTGCATCAAAAGGCGATAAAGACATGTCTGAAGTGATGATCTCTGAAATGTCATGTTCAAAAACAACCGAAGGCTAATGACAGGCGATCACTACCTGCACTCGCATGCATGACGACCTCTCTCAGTTCTTTGAGAAGCTTGACTCGATCCATCTGGTGGTTCGGGTAGCGTTCGCAGTGCGTCCTGCTCGTCTCAGGCGTTGACTGTCATACAGGATCTGGAATCACATTGGAATTAGAATGATGGGAGAAGTCAGTGAAACTTACACGATTGCAGATGACACACCAGTACTCGGACTCCAAGGCAAACCCTGCTCGCCAAGTTCATATCAGTGTGATCAAAGTTTAGCATAACGCACGAATGTGGCTCAAATCATTGACGCCCCGGAGCCCGCTAAAAATGTTCACTGTCGTTTCGTGGCTAGTATCGTGCAGCCAAAAGAGAGTTCGAGCTGCGTGGTCGACGAAGTAATATTGACAGGTTATTTCGTCTTCGGTCGGCCATAATTGCACAACAAGCTCAATGTCATCGGCTTTGAGACTCGTTGATTCCGCGCGTGCCTTGTCGTATAGCCCATCTACGCATCCAGCGAGCAGGTGAAACGTAGTTTCATCCATGATGGCCTCAGTGAATGTTTTCTAAGACAATACGGTCAGTGGCCCATGAAACACCTGTATTTCCTTCATGATTGGACTTACTCGAGTCATATTGTATAAATACAATGCGCCTTCAGGATGTATGTATGATTTCCAATCACCATCCAACCACGGACATGACCTACATGGTTTGTCATCCCATTCAGATACTGTCTGGCTAATGCACTCACTGATTCGGGAAGTGCCTCATGAGTGCTGGAATGTAATTGAGCTCATGAGTCTTATCTCTGGAGAGTGATTGCTCAAGACTGTCCACTATCGTTAAGGTGCTGCACGTACACAAAAGGACGATTATCATATCGCAAAACATCATTGGCAGCAAATGGTACAAAACGAAGAGTGGTGCCGGGAGCGTCGGAAGGAATCGCAACATTGACCTCTGGGGGTGAATAAGTGTAAAACGGAATAACTTGCTCGGGAACAGGCATGGAGTATGGAGGTGTTGAAGACGACGCCGCGTCTTGAATACCACTTGATGTACTAGTTGGAGTTATTTGGCGGCGAAGCGGCAATGGCAAGGTAGCCTGTGAACATCGTGCACTGAAAGCCCCGGAACAGCATGAATCTGCAGTGGAAGACTTTGCGTTAGTACCGTGTCCAGGTAAAGCGCGAGCCTTGGCGGCACAACGCCGCAAGAAAGACACAAGGAAACGGAGTCGCTGAACAGATGGATGTGCGAGCGCCGCCAAGACTTGCCATAGACGTCTTAAAAGCTTTTGGATTAGCCCCGTGTTCGACATGTTTCGTCGTGATCGTTTGCCGTTCAACTTGAGCGCTAGCCTCCCAGACCTAGAAGTTTAGAAGAATAGTGATTCCGAATATGAAGAAGGTCAAGCGGTTAATGGCATGTAACGCCGGAACGTTCTAGTAGTATTACATAAACGCTGTGGATAGTGAAATTCATAAGTCCAGCTTCATCTGACCTGAAAGTTGTTGCGTAGGAAGCGAACAGCGAGTTCGACTCGTGATGCTAGTTCATTCCGGCAGGCTACATCACTTGGCACTTATACAAGCACTGGAGTTAGTGTGATTTCCGGCTGACGGAGCTCGATACTGGTCTGGCTGAGTCAGCCACATGGTTACGACATCGGCAGTGAGTTGACTTCTCCTTAGTGCCTTACCGCCGCCATCAACTTACCAAATTTTTGTACTCCCGCCGCCGCTATAACGGCATTTTCATAGCCGTCGCGGTAACATCTCTCAGGCCCCCTAACAAACATATATTCGCGCGCACGCAGCCAAGGCTTGGCCCGGGCCCAACCACAATACAATGCCTATCAATATCATTGATCCCCTTGTCCGAATAATCATCTTTGTCCATTGTGTGGGAATACTTCTGGCAATATGGGCAACAAACTTCCTTGGCCCAGGGTTCAGTAGGGCACGAGCTGTTTCAGTTATGATCGCTACCTACAGTCTTGCCCTTACAATATCACTCATTCCCACGACACGGGCACAGGTTCGGGACCGGCAAGGAAGGCAGATTGGGCCTGTCCAAATGCTGTCCGGTTTTTTTACTTTCTTTTGGGGTACATGGCTTGGTAAGTCATATCTAGGATTCCAAAATCTAGGCTAAAGTTTTCAGACCCATTGTCAGATGAATCATTAGCTGCAGGTCCATTTGCAGGTGTATCTCGATACACGGTTGTACTTCTTGGCTACCCTATATTTATCTTATCAATCGGCTACTTTGCGGACCTCAATTTGCAAATTCACCCACTTATTCGCCTTGAAGGAGAAACATCTATGAGTACAGCATGCTATTTGTAAGTTTTATTTTTATTCATCACTTGTCATAAAACTAACTAATTATCTATATTGAAGCCTACTAGTAGTAATATTATTCACTTTCCTTGTAGCCACATTCTGCCAGCCCTGAAACACGCAGTGATGGACCACCAAAACCACACCCTACTGTCACATTATCACAGCGCTCCACTGCGCCACTTGGTTTTTATTGTATTTTGTTTTGTATGCTACTTATTAAAGCTCCTACATACATACAGATGGGTACTTAATTTAATAGCAAAGATGTCCTTTGTGCACTTGTAAGACAAACAGGTCAGAGTTAGGGTCCTGTTTGATATTCGCCCACTCCTGAGCCTGGACATATTTCGTACAGTGCTCTTTGCTGATGTTGAATGCGGAGCAGACTTCTTCCATCTCTTCTTTTGTATGAAGCAGCCATAGACCCTGGAACTCAGCATTGTGCAGCGAGAGACAGACAGGTACTACTTTGGGCAGGAGGTAGATTGGAGCAAGCGTGCCATGGTAGTCGTTGATGTGGTATATGTCGACAACAGGGAATTGGCGGATGGTAGTTGCAATGGTGTCACGAGTTCCAAATACAAACCATTATTTGTTCCTAAATTCTAAGTCCTTTAAGTGCCCAGTCACAGCGCCTGTTTCTAAGAATGTGTTTACTGTTGAAGAAGTTCCTATTATTGCGTCTATTGTAGAATTACCAGAGTCACGTGATCTATCGGACAATGCCGAAGATGTTGACGTCATGCCTCACGACACTCTTGGAATGTTCCAGAGTCTTACTGCGGCTGCGGCACATGTTATGACATCATAGTTATATATAGAATCGTACAATACCTTTAATTATTCTGATTGGTTAGTTAGTTCATACTCAGTTTCAATCTCAGTTTCAATATGTGTATATAGGTAGTTCATCGTAGTCAGTAGTTCTTTAGTTCAAACCTCTTGTATCTCCAAGTGAGCAATACCAAGACGTACCTGCTGCCTACTTCCTCTGCGTGATTATTCTTTGTTTGAGTCCTAGTCTCTGCCCAGCGTTAATTCGTTATTGGGTTGTGACATTAGGTTTGAACTATAGGAGACTCCGACTCTCGCGTTACACTCTTGCATCTCTCTTTCTTTCGCCTGGTCGTGTTCACACCATCAGCCAAAACAAAGCCATTATACTTTTGCCCGGCCTAAACCACCGCGACTTTTTGATTTCATCCCTTTGCTCATTTGAGCGCATTTTCATACCTATCATCTTTCGTAGTTAGTAGTCCTATACCAGGCCCTGTCTTACCGCAGCCGCCAGTATATGGAGGTGTTCACGACATTAGGCGTGTCACTGCAACTTTGAGTGCTGGCCCAAAACCCTGCCTGCTCAACGTTACTATAGTTTCATTTTACCTATCCCTTTCTTCATACGCACGTAGGCATTCGTTTCGAGTCAATAGCGGAACTGTCTAGATGACAAACCGTGCTTTCGACCTATGAGGATTTAGAGACATACCCTAGTGAGACTCGCACTTGTAAGCTTCGGCTGGAAGAGTGATAACTTGTCCTAGGCTTGTACCCTCAGAACGGAGATTGCATTGTCCCTAGTTTTTCCCACTCGATCGAGTATAGTTTACGTATCCTTTTTAGTTAGTATTAGGGAAGCATCGGTTGGGTTGATTAAAGAACCCTTCGATCCTGAAGTACGTGGTTGATCCGATCAGATATCGGGGACCGCTTCAGTTTTCCGTTTACATAACTTTCTTCTTTTCACCATCATTCCCTTCAGGAAGAGCCCTTACGAGCAGCTCTTCAACAGACATCAGTGAATTGGGTTCCAGAACACAACTGGCACTATGTCTGAATTACCAAACTCTCCTGTACAAGAACGACCTGCGGTAGTACTACCATCTACCCCACAGGAAATCGTCGAGTACATTCACATGTCACTTGCAAACCAAGCGGACAGCTTTAGGGTCAGGATTTCGGAACTAGAAGCCAAGAATGTGGCTCTAGCAGAAGCAAACAGACTCCTGGGCGTACACCTAGAAATGCAAGAAGACGAGACTGTGAAAATACAGTCACAACAACCATCATTCGGTTCGGCAGGAACCAGCTTACTTTCATCGAACTCTTCCCCTTCCATCAAATACTCCAAACCCCAAGACTTCACTGGAGAAAAGGACTCCATAGAACTCATGGTCTGGATATCCCAAGTAGCGCTATACACTGCGCAATGGCCCAACATCCAAGAAGGCCAAAGGATCGGAGTGATGCATTCATTCATGAAAGGAACTGCAGCCAAATGGGCGCAACCTTACATCACCAAACTTGGAAAGACCGGAGATGAGAAGTTGACCGTGGAGAAATTCCTGGAAGACTTAGAAGCCATGTGGGGGCAGGAAGATCGTGAAGGAAAAGCGATCAGAGAACTGGAATCCCTTAGACAAGGATCTTCCTCAGTTCCAGAGTACACAGCTGCTTTCAGACAAAAAGCTGCACACACTTCATTTTCCGACTACAACCAAAGACAGAAGTTTAGACTGGGACTTCAAGACCGTGTCAAGATACAGCTCGCTCATGTCCGTTACAAGGACAAAAACACCATGAAGAAACTGGTGGAACATGCGATCCAAATCGGACGCAACTTCGAAGAGCTAGATGCGGACAAGAAGAAGACAACCTGGTGGACCCCTAAACAAGGCCCCAGGACCCCTGAATATAAACCTGGTCCAAGCAGGGAAAGCGACGCTATGGACGTCGATGCCAACAAACAGCGAGGTGCTCCAAAACCTCAAGGAAGGACTGGATCCTTCAAATGCTACCGCTGTGGAGGCGAAGGTCATATGGCTAGAAACTGCAAAGACGCAGTCGCACCAAAAGTGCAGGTGAAGGCTACTACAGTGCCAAAAGAAGAAGACCCTATCCCAAGTTGGTTCAAAGCTTGGGTCAGCTCCAAGGAAGGCAAGGGTTTTTAGAGGGGTCGAAGTCAAAGTCTGCGAACTTAGACCCAAACAATCGTTTCTCCATCCTATCTACGTTCTCGGATGTATCAGAAGTATATATTAAATCCAAATCTGAACATTTTTACATTCCAATCACGTTGAAGGGAAAGAACCGACAAGCAGATGTGAAAGCACTGGTAGATTGCGGTGCATCGACATTATTTATTAGCGAGAAGTTTGTGAAAAAGAACGAAGTCCGGTGCCATAAATTATTAAGGCCCATTCCGGTTAAAAATATTGATGGCTCGTTAAATGCCGCTGGATCGATGACTCATTACGCCAAATTAGGTCTAAAGATCGGTGACCATGTTGAGGATCAAGCAGCCTTCATGGTTACGGACTTAGGAAGCGATGATGTTATTATTGGCATAGATTGGCTAAGATATCACAACCCGGAAATAGATTGGAATGCTGGACATTTTGCACTTTCTCGTTGCCCGGTTAAATGTATTACTAAAAAAGAACAAAGACAAAAAATAAAGAAAAAAGAAAAGAACAAAAAAAGATAGAAGAAGTGCCAGATCTGATTCCCACAGAAGAGGATGATGAAGAAGACATGGCGATGAAGAGGGTGACAGTTGAGGAAATAGAAGACGAAGAGTATCCTGGAGAATGGATCAAGTATAAAGCCTCGGTTGCCACGGAGCAGAAGGTTGCAGAAGAAGCAACAAAAGTGAAGAAATCAGTCGAAGAGATGGTTCCCGATTGGCTTCATGAGTACCTGGGAGTTTTCTCAGAAGAAGAATCTAAGCGCTTCCCTGAAAGAAAGAAATGGGATCATGCGATAGATCTTAAAGATGATGGCGATCTTCCGCCAAATGTGAAACCCTATCCTTTGTCACCCAAGGAGATGGACACTTTGAAAGATTGGTTAAAAGCCGAAACTGCACTGGGACGTATAAGAAATTCACAATCTCCAGTAGCAGCACCTTTCTTCTTTGTGGCCAAAAAAGATGGCAAGTTAAGACTGGTGATGGACTATAGAAAGCTCAATGAGAAGACGGTTAAAAATGCATACCCGCTACCGAGATCTCAAGATTTAATTGATGCTTTAACTGGTGCCACAATGTACTCCAAAATGGATGTAAGATGGGGGTACAATAATATTCGCATGAAAGAAGGAGATGAGTGGAAGGCGGCCTTCAAAACACCATTTGGTCACCACGAACCAACCGTAATGTACTTCGGTTTAACAAACTCCCCTGCCACGTTTCAAACCATGATGAACGAGATATTCAGAGATTTAATTGATGGAAAGACCGTAGTTGTCTATATCGATGATATCCTCGTGTTCACGAATGGCAAGAGGGAACAACACCGAAAAGTTGTACGAGAGGTACTGAAACAACTAAAAGAGAATGATCTGTATCTGAAGCCTGAAAAGTGTAGCTTCGAACAGACAGAAGTCGAGTTCCTCGGGTTGATAGTGGAGAAGGGTGGTGTTTGAATGGACCCTGTGAAAGTAGAAGGAGTAATGAAATGGCCTGTACCCAAATGCGTTAAAGATATACAAGCATTTATGGGCTTCGCCAACTTCTACAGAAGATTTATCTTCGGGTTTTCGGACATTGCCAGACCAATGAATGATTTGCTATGAAAGGATGTCAAATGGGATTGGACGGAGAAACAGCAAGATGCTTTTGATGAACTGAAGTCAAGGTTTACATCAGCTCCGATCCTAGTAATGCCTGACGTTGAGAAAAAGATGAAAATAGAAACCGATGCTTCTGATTATGCAACTGGAGCGGTTCTATCTCAACTGATGGAAGATGACCTATGGCACCCCGTGGCGTATTACTCTAAGTCAATGAACGATGCAGAAAGAAATTATGACATCCATGACAAAGAGTTACTCGCAATCATTCGAGTGTTGGAGGAGTGGAGGCACTATGTGCAGGGAAAACCTCACCATGTGGAGATCTGGACAGATCATAAAAATCTCGAGTACTTTATGACGAGCCAAAAGTTGACAAGAAGGCAAGCCAGATGGAGTCTGTTCCTGGCGGAGTATGAATTTACGCTCCAACATAAGCCTGGTGTAGTCAACGATAAGGCCGATAAGCTTTCTCGGAGAGAAGACCACAGAGGGGGGGTAGAAAACGACAATTCTGATCGTATTTTGTTAAAACCGGAGTTTTTTACTGTAAAAGCTGCTAAAAGAGGTCAAGTTCTAGTGCAAGGAGAAAAACAATTGCTGAGAAAGATAAGGCAATGCACAGAACGAGAGCCCGAAGTCGCTAAAGCGCTACAAACGCTAAAAGCAGCACCGGTACAATTGCGTAGAGGAGTCGAAGAGTGGAATGTGGAGGATGGATTGGTGTTATTCCGAGGACTGGTTTATGTTCCAAATGATAAAGAGATCCGCCAAGAGATATTGGAGTTGTTTCACGACTCTCCACCAGCTGGACACCCTGGACGTGCCAAAACCTTAGAATTGATTTCCAGAAATTATTGGTGGCCTTCAATGACGAAGTATGTCCACGATTACGTAGATGGCTGTGATAGATGCAGAGCAACAAAGATTCACCCAACGCAACCACATGGTCCGCTTAAACCAAATGAAATACCAGCGGGACCTTGGCAATCAATCACTTGTGACTTGATAGTAGATTTGCCTAAAAGCGAAGGGTTCGATTCTATTTTTGTTGTCGTTGATCGATACACGAAACAAACGCACATCATGCCTATGAAAAAGGAAGTTGACGCTCAAGGAATCGCGAAACTTTTCTTAGATAACATATGGAAACACCATGGAACTCTGAAACAGGTGATATCGGACAGAGGAACACAATTTGTCTTCAAGTTTATGGGACAAGTGTCTAAACGCCTAGGCATAAAATGGAACATGTCGACGGCTTATCATCCTCAGACAGACGGACAAACAGAGAGAATCAATCAAGAAGTAGAGCAATATCTGAGAATGTTCACGTCTTACCGCCAAAATGATTGGGTAGACTGGCTTCCGATAGCAGAATTCGCTCACAACAACTCTGTCACTGTAACGGGTCATAGTCCATTCAAAGTACTCTACGGATACAATCCTGAGTTTACTTTTTCACCGATTTCCAACTCTAAAGTACCTTCAGCTGATGAACGAGTGGATGTAATGAAAGAGGCGAAGGAAGACACAGAAAGTATGCTGTGAATGGCAAATGAGCGGATGAAGAGATTCTACGATAGAGGAGTAAAAGACGCACCACAATTCAAGAAAGGAGATCTGGTCTGGCTCAATGCCAAAAATATCCGTCAGAAAAGACCAAATAAGAAACTCTCCGATCGACGACTTGGTCCATTTGAAGTGCTAGAGAAGACGGGTGATGTAAATTACCGCCTGAACCTTCCAGCAAAATATCAGATTCATCCGGTATTCCACGTAGAATTACTCACTCCGCATTCCCCCTCGACCTTAGTCCAAAGACTTCCACATCATTGTCCACCGCCAGAGATCTTCTCAGAAGGCGATTCCGAATGGACAGTATGAAAAGTCCTAGACTCGAGACTGCACAGATCAAAACTCCAATACCTAGTAGAGTGGGAAGGATATCCGATAGAAGAAGCGACATGGGAACCTGAGGAAAACCTTGAGAATGCACGGTTGAAAGTTCAAGAATTTCACCGGCAAAATCCGAAGGCATTGAATCCCCGCAAAATTAATAAATCGGTGTTCGAAACCCAAGAGTTTTTGGAATGGCGCAAGAAGTTTATTCGTCCTAGTTTCATTTGCGATGACGCTCATCCTAGAGAGGGGGTAATGTCACGAGTTCCAAATACAAACCATTATTTGTTCCTAAATTCTAAGTCCTTTAAGTGCCCAGTCACAGCGCCTGTTTCTAAGAATGTGTTTACTGTTGAAGAAGTTCCTATTATTGCGTCTATTGTAGAATTACCAGAGTCACGTGATCTATCGGACAATGCCGAAGATGTTGACGTCATGCCTCACGACACTCTTGGAATGTTCCAGAGTCTTACTGCGGCTGCGGCACATGTTATGACATCATAGTTATATATAGAATCGTACGATACCTTTAATTATTCTGATTGGTTAGTTAGTTCATACTCAGTTTCAATCTCAGTTTCAATATGTGTATATAGGTAGTTCATCGTAGTCAGTAGTTCTTTAGTTCAAACCTCTTGTATCTCCAAGTGAGCAATACCAAGACGTACCTGCTGCCTACTTCCTCTGCGTGATTATTCTTTGTTTGAGTCCTAGTCTCTGCCCAGCATTAATTCGTTATTGGGTTGTGACAGATGGCCTGGTTCCATGTAGAGCAGAAGATGGCGGAACTGAGATTGTCCATGTGGGCTGGGTATGGGTCTGATGTGGTTTGTGCATGGAAAACAGGCCTGTCAAGGATGACATAGGTGATATTGTCCAACACGTGCATCTCCACTTCGATTCGATAAGGCTCAATGAAGATGATAACCTTGATAGGCTACGCAGGTTTTCCAGTGGGATAATCCAGGTCCTTCACTTTTGGAATGATCCAGATCAAGTCAACATCCATCATAGCTTTTCCCATGAGTGATGACATCACACCGAGACCTCCGACCTTGACCTTGAGTTTCCAGTCAATGATCTCATACTCCAGCATCGCGATGAGGACTTTGCGCCGCTTATTCTTATCCTCTGGCCATCCCACGATCTCTGTGTTCAGCTTGTGCCCAAAGATCTTTTCCATGATGGGCGTCATGCTCTCCTTGAAGTCTGTGGCTGACTTCAAGTTGTTGAGCAATCCAATGATAGGGGAATACTTGCTTGCGCCCGAATTCATCTGCACACCATACAGGTTGTGGTGGATGCTGTAAGTTGGTGTTCGACTCTCAAGTGCGAAGGGGTGTGGAGACTGCTGGAGGATGTACAAGCACTAGGGAGTTAGATAGTTGTCAGCGAGCGTTTTTAGACTATAATGAATGTAATAATTCTGAGACGTTTAGATGATAGTTAGTGATAACGATGAGTGCGAGAATGAGACTGGATGTGATTGCCTGGGTGTAGGAACTGTACAGGGCTATTTTATACTGCAAAGAGCTAAGGGTCCTCGGGTAGGGATAGTCCGACGATTATGTGAAAACGGAGGCAGAAGGGAGTGGTGTTTGAATACGTATAGCATAATGAGACTCGCATAGCGGTTTGACAGAGCGGCGAACTGAGAATGGAGAGAGAGGGTACAAAACATTAGGTGAACGGCAGCATGAATGAAAGTGGTATTGATAGAATAACGAGAGTCCATAACGATTTGACAGGTTTTTGGCGGTTCGGCTGCGAGCAGGATAACAGAGACGAGGAGAGTGAAGGGTCGAATATATGAGGCCTTAATGGGGAATGACGATAGGATGAAGACGAGGTCCATGTTGAAGATTTCGATGATGATGGTAGAGGTAAGCGGTACTTCGGCTATTTCCGGCATCAACCGCTCGGTAATCCTTACAATGCTGTAGAAAGAGTACACGAAAATGACGACTGTGAGAACTCCAGTAATAAGGGAGAGAGAGCGAGGAGCCCATACATGGTAGCACTGACAGAAGCATGGCCACGAGGCTCAAGAGTCCACTCCAACGTGGCATCATCAACGATGAGTGCCCATGTGAGCGCAGGATAAGGGGGAGCCGACAAGTTCAGGTAGTTGTGCGCAATGCTGTTAGGTGGTAGCCGATCCATAATGCCGTCCCCATCGACGTCACTGTAGTAGTAATCATCATACCCAAACACATTGAGTTGCAGGTATGTTGGCCATGCAGCCATGATTTCGTGCTCCCAAGTGCCATCGCTGACTAGGTTCATCGCACTGGAGATATCCTGGTCATAACCCCAGTCATTGAAAGGACCTCGAGCGAGGAACTGGGGAACGCGACACTGCTGCTTGTAGTTCAAACCTGCATGCATGACGACGCTGGAGGTAGTCGCGACACCACTCCAATCTACCGCGATGTCAACACCAGAAAAAACAGCAGCAATTATGAGCACTCACATTGTACTATGAGATGTTGTCCCGTCCAGAAAGTATCAGAATTGAATTGCTAAGGACATCAGCGGGAATGGTCGTAACATTCTCCCAATTCGTCCAGTCAGACCAACTCAGTGTGAAGTTGCCTGAGTACCTGAACATATCCGCTCCATAGGCACAGTGCATGAATGTATACTGGCCATCAGTGTAGTTGAAATCTGTGTCATCATAAGCGGACTTGGGGAACACCATGAGTGTCAGCGTTTGCATGCCGCTTGCTTCCTTCTCCATCACCGGCCAATGCAATTTACGTTTCGGGTTCCTTTCGACGAACGATTCGCCAACAAATCAAATTTATCTTCTTCGAGTCCGCCAGCTGCATGTGAATTCTATGACACAAACAAACAAATCTACAAGGGAGGACAGCACTAGTAAGAGACTTTCGAAGCTAGTTTGTGTGCGTGCGTGGGGATAGTGGAATGTCCATGAGTCTTGAATGGTTGTACTACGGATCAGTGTGTGCGTGCGTGGATGGACGAGGCTTCCTATACCAACTCGGGAAGACTGAATGCAGGTTGTGATTGTCAGCGCAAGGCAGATGCTCGGACTTCTGGCCAGCCATTCTTGCTCACTCGTCCAGTGATTTCTCCACATGCCTCACACTGGCGCTGGATTGTGTCGAAGAGTGGCTTGGCCCTTTGCTTCAGGATGACAAAGCGACAAAGGATATAGGCGTGACTATCGACAAACAGGTAGGACAAGACGAAGTAGTTGCCTTGCTTGAGTTGCTGAATATATTTAGGTCAGCCGGTGTCCGAATCAGCATGACGAGAATAAAACTCACTTCTTGAGTCCAGTGCCGATTGGCGTGCAGCCAATGTATCACGCTTGAGCCAGACATCAACATCACAATCATGGAGAACATGAGCGATATAAAGAGTAGACAATAGGGAACGGGTGACATGTAGTCGAAGTAAGACACAGGAGAACCCATGCTGACGAAAACACTGCTTATAGTGAGGAGGACACTTGCCTTTATGAGAGCATGTCAGCGTCAGCTTCAGTTCACGATGGGTGCAGAGTTGGATAGCTTACCATGGTGATAGTGCTTGTCGGGATAGAGAACAACCTGCTCCTAGCGGTTTCGAAGGCTTGTTTACAAGGGACGTGGAACGAAGGGCTTCAGGGAGGGGTTCAAATGCTCTTGGGTCAGTAATCACATATGACTGGAAAGGGTGGCATAATTGAGTCATACGGCAAGGATTCCTAAGTTTTGAAATCACACCTGAGTGGAATAGAATGAAGCCATGGTGTGAAACAGAATAGGGAAGAGAGAGACTAATGCTCAAGCGCTCATAGTGAGAACAGGGCTCCCTGAGGCCGAGGTGGATCATTGAAGGCAGTGTCAAAACACGCTTCAACAATGTGACAGAACTTCTTGCGGTTCGGGGAAGGTTGGACCAACATAGGACCGTTCGGGCAATGGTGGACCGCGAACCTCACTCAGGTCCGGTCCGCCCCAATTCTTGGACCACGGACCAAATCAAGGAAGAACCTGACCATTGGTCAGGTTCGGACCGTGGTTCTGGACCGAACCACGGCAGCCCTATTAGAAACACTCCATCATCCCCGTGCAGCCTGTCAGAAGAGGATCAACGTGAATCTGAGTCAAAGCCAATGTCAAGCACCACCTCTCGAAGTCAGTGTGACGCACCGGTAGAACTCTTTTACACGCCTGTGGTAAAATGAGGCAATAAACCCAACTTTTGCGATTCCGCATGTTTTTGAAAACAGCTGTAATATTGTACGTTCGGTGTTTCGGCGCTTGCCGGTTCTATCTAAGTTACGTGGAACCTACTACTGCTAGCGTGGCTCATTATACCTTCGAGAAACAAAAATCATAGTCCTCAGTCGCTCGATGCTCTTTACCTGATTTTACTTCTGAGTCCTCGTCATGCCTTGTATTTCGCTTAGAAAGGCGGTTACGTTTTTTGTTCTCTTTGCCGCTATTTTTGAGAGTTCATTAGCATCCATACTAGCAGTTGACTATGGGTCGGACTGGATCAAGGCTTCGCTCATGAAGCCTGGTGTGCCCTTTGACGTGCTACTGAACAAGGACTCCAAGCGGAAGATACAGTCCTCAGTAGCATGGAAGAAAGACGAAAGATTATTTGGGTCTGACGCGGCGAACATCGTGAGTACCGTTCCCCACAACATTCTGCCCTTGGTCTGACAGAACACAGGCGTCTCGTTTCCCTCAAGACTCATTCTCATCCCTAAAATATCTACAAGGCGCACCATTCAACTCTGATATCGTCACCTATTTCACCTCCATATCTACCGCTCAGATTTCTGAGACCGACCGCAAAACCGTTGCACTGAAACAAAGTGACGGCACGGAATGGAGTACGGAGGAGCTCATCGCGATGCAGCTATCATATATCAAGAAGCTTGCTGAGGATTTAGCAGGCGAGTCGGTACACGAGGTTATCCTCACCGTTCCACCATACTTCTCTCAGCTCGAACGCGACTCGATTACAGATGCAATAGAAATTGCAGGACTGAGAACACTAGCATTGGTCAATGACGGCACGGCTGTAGCAGTCAACTACGCTATGACGAGGACTTTTTCGACCACTCCCGAATACCATGTCATTTACGACGCCGGCGCATCCTCGACACGTGCCACCGTGGTTTCGTTCGCTGCGGCTGAGGATCCCAAGACGAAGGTGTCATACACGCAGATCAATGTTCTGGGGGTCGGGCATGATCGAAATACGGGCGGGACAGAGCTAGATCTGAGGTTGCGGGATATTCTGATAGATAGTTTTATGTCAAAGCACCGCCGGGATATCCGAAAGGATAGGCGCGCTATGGCTAAACTTTGGAAGGAGGCTGGACGGGTCAAGGCTATCCTCAGTGCCAACTCAGACGCGACATCGACAGTAAGCAAGCTGGCTAAACATAATATGTGGTTTCGATGCTCACAGTTTTCAGGTGGAGAGTGTTGCATTTGATATCGACTTCAAGACCAAGGTTACTCGCTCGGAATTTGAGGACGCCTGTAAAGACCTTCATTCGCGCTTTGCAAGACCCATCTATGATGCACTTGCGAATGCTGAGCTTTCATTGGTATGCAAGCCCGTGGGTTGTCTTGCAAATATTGTCTGACACACTTACAGGCAAATATCTCATCCGTTATTTTAACAGGCGGAAATTCACGCACGCCCATGGTCCAGACCGCTGTAAAAGCAGCTGTCGGCGAGTAAGCAATACATATCTTCTCATTTTTGGACCATTGGAGTTTACATGTTTTATTAGAGATCGCATTGCACTCAATGTCAATGCTGATGAATCCGCCGTGCTTGGCGCAGCGCTTTATGGAGCTTCCCTCTCTCGTCAATTCAAGACCAAGGACATTCGTGTAACTGATGTCTTAATACATGATATCCAGGCGTCGTACCTCGCGTCTAATCCAGGCACGCGAACGATTCACACGACAGTCTTACCTGCTGGGTCGAAGCATGGTGCAAGAAAGACTCTAACGTTCAAGCGTAAAGAAGATTTTTCTGTGATACTGAACTATCCCAATGAAGTCATGTCGTGCGTGTTTCGTACATACAAATGCTCATATTTTATTAACCTCATTTCTAGTGGTTTCCCCCGCGAGATCCTCGAGGCAAAGATTGTTGGCATTCCCGAGGCCATTGATAATCTTACTGAACGCGGCGCAGTCGATCCAGTGATCAAGGCTACCGTCGTACTTTCCGAATCCGGCTTTGTGTCTGTCGGAGACGCCATAGCCTACGGCGAGATTAAAGACGATTCCATCACTGGTACGTATTTCCACTTTTTCCTGTTCTTAATTATAAAGCTCGAATAGGGAAACTGAAAGGCCTATTTGGAGGTGGGGGTGACCAGGTACCATTAGAGAGTGATGTTGATGAAGAAGCCCCAAAGGACGAGAAGATCGAGAAGGATAAGAAAGATAAAGCTAAGAAGCCGCTTGGGAAGGACCAAAATACTATTCCACTTGAGATCGAAATTGTGTACAATTCCCAGGGCCCACTGAGTCTTGTGGCAAAACGGGCTGCACGTGAACGGTACGTCTGCATTGTCTGCGCTCATAAGACTGATCAGAGTCATGCTGCGACAGTCTCAGGGCATTAGACAACATGGAGATGTCAAAGCAACTTCGGGAAGAAGCGCATAATACTCTCGAAGGATACCTGTATAAGCTACGGGATCTTTTGGATGATGGTCCAGAAACGCCATTCATGAAATGCTCTCAGTCATCTGAAAGGCAAACACTTTCGAACAAACTCTCGGAGACCATTGCATGGCTACATGACGAAGGAGACACCGCCGATACAGTGCAGCTATGGGAGAAGCGATCGGTTCTCGAGTAAGGGTCCTTTTTGGGGAAGGCTATTTGAGTGCTGACCATTTCTGGACAGGACTCTGGAGAAACCAATCGTACACCGCTACAAGGAGATCGAGTCTTTCCCACAGGCACTGAATAACTCACAAAAGTGGAATTGGAGTACTAGATTATTTCTTACCCAAGCAAGGGAGAACATCACGGCAGACGCCATCGCAGGTGTTCCTTCGAAGTGGACGTCACAGGAGCTTGATGCGCTCGAGAAAGCACTCAAAGACCATGAAAGTTGGCTTCATGATGGCGTTGAGCGGCAAAAGAGGACAAAGATGAATGAAGACCCGGCGATAGAAACTAAGGACATGCAGCAGCGAGCCAAGACGTTGGAGCAGCACCTGCAAAGATTGGTGAGGAGAAAGGTACCCAAAGTCAAAAAGACGTCCGCGAAGCCTGGTGACGCCGATGGATCATCATCTACTGAACCAACGCAGGCACCTGGAGACTCGGATAGACAGCCAGGACATGACGAATTGTAGATGGTATTCATATTAATTAGATGGGGTTTGCGTCGCATCTGTTAATCTACATATATATGCGCAGTTGTGCTCAAGTGGTGTCCGCTGCGGGTCCAGGTAAGTACATGATGTGTGTTTGTCGGTGCTTGCCTAGGGCCAATGTGGCCTATGATACAATCATTCGGTGGTACAGCTTTTATCAACTTGTAGATATCTCAGTTCTTCTTTCACCAAGAATCACATTACCGCTTGCCAATCTATCTATCGGAATCTGACTCCTTTGTTCAAACTTGGTCGGCCGCGCCGTTTCAGAACCCTCAATATCGGCTGTGACCCATGTCCAAGCGGAGCTACGATAGCAGTGCTCACGAGAAACGCATTTCCAAGTATCGTGTCAACGACGACGATTTGTTCGAGTACGTATGCATGAGTCAACATCGCCCACCTCATGCAATTGACTGTTTTCGGATCCGCGACATAGATATGTCCTTCGTGTAGCGTGCGTACCCTTGCCCCGCGTACCAGCACCAACTTGAACCTCACGTCATCTGCAGTATCATCAACTATGTCATCCAGCCGAAAGCGTCCAATCATCTCGCTCACGCCTCCGAAGTAAAGGAAAAGGAACATCACTCAAAATTTTCAGGAGCTATATCCAACTCCATTGTATCCATAGGTGATATATTCAAGGACCTCAGGGATGGGTCGAAGAGCGTCAAGTTTCCAGAAAAACTCCTCAAAGTATTGGAACAGAAACTGCAGAATATAGCAATGGGGAAAGATGCTGCGTCCGTGGCATAACTGCGCTGCGCTCTGGGATTATATGCTGACACTAAGGTTGCAGGTATTCTGATCAATTAACAAGGCGAACTATGGCCGTTTTTTATGGGCAGTTCATAGGTGACTCCTTCAAGAGGCAAATGAAGGAGAACAGGAGCATAGAGGAGTTGATCTTGATGTTTGCCTCACAAGCCACCAGTGTGCTCAGGAAGGAGCCCACACTCGCTGATGATGGATGGAAGGTTGAGGTGAACAACCAAATTGCACAGTTCGTGAGGATGCTTCGGGATTGCTTGAAGACTCTCAGCCATGTTTCGCCCGAGCTCAATTCACGCCTGGATATGTATCACGCTAAACTTGCACCACCGCAGTCTGCGAATGATTCGGGGTACGACTCTGCATCGGCGTCGCGCGACCGGGGAGATTCCATCAGCACACAGCCGAGCATCAGCCAAAGCATTTCGGATATGCCCTTTGTGATGATTGTGGCACGCCTGTTCAAGATTCCTGAGAACGCCATGCAGGGCGAGGTGGATCGGATGTGGAAAACATGTACGGAGAAGGTAAGTGATGCCCTCCTAGCAGACCCTGTCACTGAATATCAGTAGGCTGCTGTTATAGACCTCAAGGTGAGACGACAGGTAAAAGAAGAGTTATGTATTGACCGTGCGCGTATTGCAGACTTGCTTGAAGAATATCAACGCTGGCGCGCCATTTCCCGGTAGAAAGGAAGACTTCAGCAGTGATACTGCGTGGAATCATTGGCGCACTCAGGAAACCTCAATTCTCTCCCAACTCATGGTAGCGATGGTGTCGCTTAATCCCGAACTTGCCAAGTCCATGCCTTCAGACAACGGTTCCATCTATGCTACATCGGGGGCTCGTCCAGGCTCGCTGCCCTCTGCTCATATCGACTCTCCTAGTAGAACGAAGCGACATACTTCGATTGGAAGCCGACATTCGTTCTTCGGAGCCGTAGACGAAGGTGAGGAGAACGGTGGCGACGATGGGGACGACGATGACGAGATTCGTGTTGGCCACAATTTCACGTTTATTCCGCCAAATCCCAAGAAGTTCTACAGGCGTCTTGTCGAATACTGTCTCGTTACGGATCTAGAGTTTATGTTCAGCCCCGAAGTGGACGATGCTGATGAAGTTCCCTTGAGTATCCTCAGTCCTCCTCACGTGGACCTTATAAACGAGTGTGCGATGCGTTGGCGCATAAACCATACGTATCGTGCTACATGTTTTTTGGATCAGATCAAGCAACTATATGAGCGTAGCGACGTTCCCATGGAGTGCATACCAGAGGCCCTGCAATGTACCACGAAGTTATTGCAAGATCTCGAGATAGACAAGTGGCCCATCCAGGATGTGCGTGGTTGATAGGCATGATCTAACCCGTCACTGAGTTTCTTGATAGTCAGAACTATTGGCATCCGTCTATGGTGGACTTTACAACATCTTCCTCTCTTCTCTATATCACACCATGGATGCCCTGCCGAACCTGAAAGTCAGCGTGGCCCAGCCATATCTCACTGTTCTCGACCTCATACGGGAGAGTGGACTCATCGAGCGTTTTGAAGCAGATATTAGTGCCCGTTTGTCAGACTTGACTACTCACATTCAAGATGTGTCAGTCCAGTTTTATCAAGAGAAGATGCAATCTTTGCAAGCAAGCCCCGGAGTCAACCGGGCGTTGCCATTGCTGCTGATGACGGACGAACTAGAGAAGGCAGCCAAACAGCTGGACAAGCGATTTCCTGATCCTCTTGTTGGGTATGACCCTGCACGAAGCTTGACGTTGGGATACTGATGCTATGTGTTTAGAGGGGTAGATCTAGTTTCTCTTGTAGTGGAAGCCCAGGTTCCACTCTTTATCAGCGAACTTCAGAACTCCTCGAGACGTTTGTATGAATCGTCGATGAATGGTCCAACCCCAGATGTGCCTATACAAGACATATTTTCGCTCTACCGACGAACGCAGGCGTTGCTGTCGATGTACAAAGCATTTGTTCCTCAGTGAGTGTTTTCATGGGGTTACGGCGAAAACCTCATTGTTTGCAAGGGGACAACTGGAGTTTGACCTTGGGCAGTTTTTCACGCCATACATTCATCACTGGCTCGTTGACACAGACAATAAGACCGGTCAGTGGGTGCAAGCTGTAAGTCTCATTCACAGTTGCTGGGATTAAGCTAAACAGGAGTTGGCAGGCAATCGCAGCGGACAAGGTTCGTGCTATGCTTGTATTCTCCCATTTTCTACTTAATGCTACTCTAGTTTGAGGCAGAGAATACAGAACGACATAGTGCATCTGTTGTCGATCTCTTTGACTCCCTCCGTAGTCCAATATCTTTCTTGCAGGACCTCGAGTGGTCAGATGAGTATCAGGAGGCGAGATTTTTCACCAGTCTCTCCAAGGTGCTGATTCAGTGCGTTTTTGTCACATAGTGGTTATTGACGATATTATTCCCAGACGATATCCAAGGCAATCGAGCAATACTGTCGCTCTGTCGAAGAACTTTTCATGACAGAGATGTTTCCACGCCCAACAGACTACCTGCAGCCGCAGAAGTCCTCTGCTTGGCTCGAGAAAGCCAAGTCGCTTGCAATAGCAGGCGAGAAAAAAATCGAACCATTTAACTTCCGCCCAGAGTCTTGCGTCAAGCTGAACAACGTTGAAGCTGCACGGAAGCTCCTTGACAACTTGTATAACCAGATGCAGGTGGACAAGGTCGCAGACACGATCGCTAATCATGGGCCACCTGTTCCCGACAAAAATGAGCGGCCGCGATTCCTGTTTGCTGTGAAGATTGTTATGGCGGAGGACTTGGTACCACTTGATAGTAGTCCTTCCTCGTTGCTAGACACCTTCGTGACGCTCAGTGACGAGGCTGGGAATCGCCTTGTGAAGACGAGGACGATTTATGAGAGCTTGAACCCGCGTTGTAAGTCTCCGTCAAAACTCTTGGACACGACTTGTTTATATGCCGAAAAGGGGAAGAGACTCATGACATATCGATCGACAAGCCTTTATGGTTAATGTGCAGTATACGTGATCGCGCGCTCATGGGTCAACATGACGTTGTTGGCCGGTCCTTCATATGCCTCAACCCCAAGGAATTTGGTGATTTCTTGACCCATGATGTATGGCTAAACCTTGAGAACACCAACAATGGCCACCAAGGGAGGATACTTCTTCGAATCAGTATGGAAGGAGAGAAGGATGACGTACAGTTCTACTTTGGCCGGGCTTTTCGATTCCTAAAGCGGAGTGAGGGAGACATGATGCGGATATTCATTGACAAAGTAAGCCGTCGAATACGATGCCTAGGCTCTTATTCTAGATCTCATTTGTTGCTAGATGTCACCATATATACGACAATCACTGTCCCGACCTGTCCTCAAAACCTTGATTAAAGCTGGATCTCTGGGGCTGGATTACAACAAGGCACTCGGGAATGTCACAGCGCTCTATCGCTCAGCACTGGGCTCCAACGCCAGTGAGGTGCAGATACCTCTTCCTCACAACGAGAAATCTCGTGTTCGGCCCGAGGAACTCACTGACGTGGAGATTGAACGCGCGATCATTCCTCTGTTTGATTATTTCGATGCTAACCTTCATATTCTCAACACCTATCTTAGCGAGACTGCAAAAGATATGGTGATGATGAGGGTCTGGAAGGAGATTCTAGTCATAATAGAGGGTCTACTCATACCGCCGTTGTCCAAACTCTCTAGTGACATGAAACCACTCAGTGACAAGGAGGTAGACATAGTTTTCAAGTGGTTGAAGGTGCGTATGATACTTTTGTGCGCGTACATTCCTGATAGCTTCAAACTAGTTCCTCCGCGACTATTTCTATGCGGAAGGCGAAGGCGTTTCGCTGGAAAAACTACAGAACCAGAAATATCGGGATGTTGTCTCTATTCGTTTGTACTATGACTGGCATACGTACGCAATCTCGTTTCATGTACTGGTAACGACGCTTCATTTTGCTTTGCAGGGATACTCTCATGGAAGAGTGCGTACGCACTATGCAGCAAAGCTTGCGCGAAGCTGTTCCTATCAAGAAGCGCGTGAAGAGTGTATACAACCAGCGGAATTTGGGGACCATTAAGGAGCGCAAGAAGGTGAAGAAAGAGGAGAAGGAAGTCTCGAACGGTGAAACTATTATGAGAATTCTTCGCATGAGGTATGCATCACACGGCTCTTGTGGGCATCAATTCTGACCAAGGTACACAGACCAAACACACAAGAGTTCATTGCCCAGCAGCTTGAAATGATGACAACTGTGCAAGCCGAGCGCGAACGTGCACAAGTTGATAGACAGCCGCGAAGATCTCAACGACCGCGGCAGGCGGAAATCCCTCAAGTTCCGCCACTGCCCTCCGCTGCCTCGTAGCCTTTGTACATTGTACACCGTATACCTTGCAAGCCCTTTGTACGCATCTGTTGACGTATCTCGGGATGGGATGATGTATTTACTTGTGTGTCCAAGAACTAAATTATTACAGACTCTCTAGTGGAGTGGACAATAACTAACGTACGAGAGGCTGCGGAAATCAGGTCGACTGGATCGAGAAAGTACAAACTCGACGTAATGTGCATTCCTGTTTACACGTGTATCAAGATCAATCTGGTGTAGGCGTTCAATCCTTTTGTTGGGCTGACGATAGTGTTTGGTCATTATTGAACACATGGCTGTTTCGAAGAGACGGGCAACCTTGTTCTTTTCGAATCACAGTACTTGTAGTAGTCAAAGATCAGAGTGCTGGTATTACGAATCCGTTTGATGTATTTTAACTATCACTTGAATGAAATCACTATCGCGGTACAATCGCGGCGCTTTGAAAGTCACTTACCTTATTTGGCCAATATTATACTTTCGTCGTACCGTTTACTTGTGAAAAGTCGCCCACACCGTGTCCACAGCGACGGCGACCCTTGCGAGGACAATGGTGCTTTATTCCCCAGATCGGGTGCTTCCCCGCGCCCGGATTTCATGAAAAGCAGACCGGTGGCCAGTGGAAGTCTATCAATTCAGAATTTCCCTTTCCTTCAGTCCACTTCAGCTGCCACCAGTGGCGGCATTGTCGTTCCCTTTTTTTTTAACTTTTTCTATTGCTGGTCATCCTCTGTCTTTGTAGCATTTAAATTCCCTCTCTGGTATAGTGTCACTTTGATCTTCTGTTGCATTTACGTTGCCTGCGATGCTACCAGCCAAAGCTTGTGAGTTGCTGCCATCCAGGAATGTGCTTGCGAGCTGACAGGATGATGGTTGTTAGATGTCTTCATCGGTCTCAATGCTGTCCGCACTCTTAGCATTATCGCTCTTCTTTTGGTTTTCTCTAGCAGCATCCTGGTGATGGTCGATGACATCGAGGCAGTCAACGCATTTGTCGATGGCGGGAGCAACTCGACCTTCACAATTAACTCTGACTACATACAGTGAGTTTTTTTTAGTGCACGTCATCGCGAATGTGCTCAACATTCTGCCTAGAAATAGTACAGTTCCTAATCAGCCAGCTGGCGTGTTTTGGGCAGTATTGAACCGGTTGTTGATAATTGGACAGACCGTCGTTTTGATTCTTTCAGAACTAGGTATGATATTGGCAACAACATGTTAGTATGCGTCATCTCAACCTCTCTCAAGGCTGGCCCGCGGGGTTCTTTGATTACTACTTCCCCGTTCTCGGGAGTGACTTTGGACTAGGTGCTCTTGGAGTGATGCAATGTTTGTAAGTTGATAAACCCCTGCAATCGGTTTCTTGTCAACTCATCCGTACATCAACAGGATAGGAGCTTCTGTTCTTTCTCACTTTGTCAAAGTCTTCCCCCTCGTCTCCGGTTTCTTCCTCTTTTCCATCGGCTGTCTCAACATGCTAATCGGCCTTATCTTCCGAGAACGTGCCAAGTCTACACGTTCCATATTATCATTCCGGGACCGAGCAGATGACATGCTGTCATCACTCGATAAAACCAAAGAAATACCGTTCAGCAAATATAGGATGGATCGAGACGCAGAGATGGGTGCGTGATAAGATTTGAGTTTGCACAGGTGTCACTGACTTTTACTTGTTGTAGGCGTGGGCGTCAAAGAACCGGATACTGCGCACGCTCGCACTTAGGTGTATGATGAATACTATCGTTCCCCAATTCCCGCCAGTATTTAATATAAATGATCAATGTCCGCTGTGCTCTTGGGTACTATACTAAGTTATGTAAACATATATCTTATCTTTCTATCCATACGGCTTGCACTGAACTGTGAAACTACTCAAATGACTGTAATTCTTGCTCTGGTAGCGGCGTTGATCAAGCCTGATCTGACTTGACGGGGAGATGGATGGTTGACACTATTTGGAGCTACAATTTTATACACGTTCGTCACAAGTTGCAACGGCAGGTTTTCAGCTACGGAAAAATGTATGAGTAGTATACATTGCAAACGAGGATGGCGGGACATTTGATACTGGTATCGTACATAGAGGACGGTTCGAAATGCATCAGAGGAAGTGGGTAAAGCACATCGATGAGAGTTTATAGAGAGATGTAAAGACATACGACTCGTGAAGAATGAGAAGGTCTAATGATTACCGTCCGTATATTCAAGAGAAATACAACCAATGAAGAGCCAGAAGCGAGTCCAGAGTCCAACATCTCGTATGGTTGCGTGAGGGCGTGACGTTGTTGTTGGAATTGTAGCTGCGGTAGCATCACCGGCAGCAGGCGTGGTGGACAAGGAAGAGTCAGATGTCTGTGTTTGCGAAGATGGGCTAGCGATGTCGGGCTTGGGAGGCTGCGAGCTTCCTGCAGTAGGGATCTCCGAGTGTGATGGTTTCATTTTCTGTTTCTGTTTCTGTTTCGCAAATGCAACCTCCCTCGCTGAAGCATTTCTCTATGTGATATTAGACGAAGTTGCCGGTGAACATTCGAGAGAGAGAGAACATACACGTTTGCCCTTCGCATATGGAACTTCAACAACAGGGCTGCGCCCTTGCAACTCGGTACCTTCACCGCTTCGCCCAAGCTGTTTCACAAGGTTTCGAGCCCAGTCGAGAAGGGAGGATGATGGTGTAGCATGAGCACTGGAGGGGCTGGGGTTGCGGCGGAATAAACGACTAATAAATGTGCTGCCTGGCAGTATAGAGGAGTGGTGATGGTTTGGTGCGGAGGACTGAGAACATGAAGGTCAGGAAAACAAAACCGAGTTGATAGTGATGACATACATGAGAGCGATCTGGTGGGACTCCATCAAAGAAACCTTGGGGTATCCGATTATTAGGCGGACGTCGTTGCACTGGAGGTCGTGTAGTACTAGCCTAGAGCATATATGCTGAGAACAACAAGATCTTTTAATGAAGGTGTCACGTACATGGAGTGCCAACTTATTGGCCTGGCAGAGTGCGTTCAGTTGTGAGAATATACATTGATGAGACATGCATATCGATTCACCTTTGAATTCGAAAGTAGGTCGTCGAGGCCGGCTTCTTTAACAATTGCAGCAACAGCCCATGTGTACGCGTTTGTGTCCTGGCAGCCAGTTGCTAGTAGCTTTCCATCTTCCAAAAACGATACAGAGCCAACTGCTCCTGCATGCTGGAGAGGCGGGCCGATGAGTTGTCCATTGTCGAGGTTCCACAAAAGCACTGTCTCGTCATGTGATGCGCTTGCGAGGATGCGGTCATTTGGTGATATTGCAATGGCCCAAACCAAGTTGGTGTGCGATTCGAGTAGTGCGGTTTGCTTCCATGTTTTGGTATTCCATGTCCTAATCGAGTGATCGTCTGACCCGGAGATAAGAGTTTTTCCATCCTTGGTCCAAGCCAGGCAAGACACTATATATTTATGTCCTTTGAGAGTTGCGACAAGCTCGCCTGTCGTTGTGTCCCAGATTTTGATGGAGCACTTGATGGGTCCGTCAGTCAAGGGCCCATCACATCCTCCAGTCGCAATCATGGACATGTCTGGTGAATAGACCACTGCCCACACGTCATTGTGCCCAGTCTCGATTGGCTCGAGGATTGTTTCTCCGCTTTCCACATCCCATTGCCTTGCAGTCCCATCGCCAGATCCGCTTAACACTCTCCGACCATCCAGGTTCCAGCAGACAGACCATACCGGCTGTGTATACCCCATCCATCTAGCGATGACTTCGCATGTGTCGATGTCCCACAACCTCACTCCGCCGTCCTCACTCCCGCTAACCACTGTCCTCCCATCCGGAGACAACGCTATACAGCGCACTCCACTTTCTCCGTCTCTCCAGTCTTCTCCTATCTGTTTCCCGCTCTTCAAGTTCCATACCCGCAGCGAGCCGTCACCTGAACAAGTGATGATTCGCTGTCCACCTTGCAGGTGTATGATACCCCGCACCCTTTCGGTGTGTCCTTTGAATTCCTGGTGGGGTTTTATTGCTGATGTCTCTTTCGTTTTAGTGGTGGATGAAGCCATAATTTCAACTACGGAGTGTAGGACCATCTCAGCTTTCATCGATCAATCCCTGAATCATCACTTACAAAGAAGCCTCTAATCAGCGATGGGCAGGCAGCAGGGAACAGTCGTTTTGGTGGTCAAGTCAGAGTTGAGTCCTCTGCTTTCTGGTACGTTTTTGTACATGCTGTATTACGGTGTTAGCTTCACAGCTTATATACAGCATAGGCTGTGCACCTAAAGCGTCTGAACACCCACATGATCTCATTACGTTAAGCTTCAGTCCATGATTAGCTAGCTCTCAACAACGAGAGGCCCTTCTGCCAAGCATTCCCATGGGTTCCCAATGTCAGCTGCTATCGAACGCGACGATGAATTGACATTGCACTCGTTTATGCTAGCAACATCTAATCGGCACTGAATTATCTCAAACTCACTGGTGCTTCAAGTTAGAGTCATCCTCTACCTACAACAAGGACGTACATCAGATCAGCAACATCTTACGAACAAACAGCTAAGGAACATTCCCTACCACGCACTTCACTGAAATAGAATCATACGCGGTGTCCAATCAACGAGAGTCATCTAATCAGCGTCACGGTCCGCATCATAGGCTGCGTCGTTGTGGTAAGCATCATGCTTACAAAGAGTCTGTTAGCTAGGGCAAGGTGGCGGTTTCGAGACGAAGTCGGCTTTTGGTGTGTGGAGACACTGCGTCAAACCAAGCTGCTCAACGTTCAACAGGATAACCATATCAGTACAGCTTGGTAGCGCAACCAACGTTGTATCCCATGCAATCGGCATCCCGAGGAGTCGACAATCACGCTTGTTCATAGCGCAGAATATGACGAACGATGACTACAAGCAGCGAACTTCAAATTGCGACGAAATTGCGAGGTTCCTCGCGAGCAATGAATTGTTTCGCGACGCGGGATCTGCGTGAGGATTCGATTCTTTGTATTTTAACGACTAGTACACATCCTAGTCCGTCGTTCACTGGCAGTCCATCACAACACGATAAATGCTAAGTAGGTTCAGGAACTGCTGAAGAAGCGAGGGTTTCAAAATAAAATCAGGATGTTACAAGTCAAGACGACTGATTCTAATCGTCACTAGTTTGATTTTAAATACATCGACAAGCTCAGTGGTAGAGCGCGCCACTCGTTAAGTAAATGAATGGATAGTACACTAAAGAAGACCAGTACAGTCACAAGCTTTGGACATTGTTATTTATTGTCAGTTCGCGCCCTTCATTCCCCGGTAGTTCCGGCGACAATGTTTCCATGCACACCCCACTCAACCCCAAAGCCGAATATCACCCAAGCTGTAAGGACTATGGCGAACCCAGCCCCAACTGCTACCCAGCGCGCACACGAAGACACAGAGCCTGGTACAGGGCTCTTCAACACTACCTCCTTCTGCTTTGGCGTCGCACTCTCATCCTTGCTTTCCTCGGTAGCAGTATGCAGGCGTAGCTCCCAAAGCTTCTCCACTTCTCTTTCCAGATACTTTGGGCGTACCTCTGAGAGCCGCGCGGCGGGAAGACACCGCTTCCCGAATGGTGTATAGCAGGCGCCCAGGAGTGCACCTGAGACAAGTACGCAGGCAAACGCATATACAAGCCAGACTGTCACAGCACTCTCGAGCGAGTCGTTGGGGGAGAGGTCTTGAAGCCTCCCAGCTGCTGTCACGATGATGACGATGGAACCCTGAATGATCGATTCTGCAAGAAGAGACGGTGAGCGTGACGAGGTGGAGAAGAATCAAGCATACTTTTGATGGCAAAGCTGGAAGTCGCGTCAAGAAGGTCAACAGTGAAGATGTACTAGAGAACTCACGCTGTTGCATAGTAGCGAGAATCTGGTATAATGCTGCGCAAGATCTCCACTTGCGGAGCTGGTGTTAAGCTCTGCAAGATAACGTTAGAGTACTAGTGAATCAAGGATCTCGTGCATCTACCTGAGCAAACGCATAAAATACATATGCGCAAACTAAATTGAATTCAGTACAACGTCTACCTGAATTGTCCCAACTCACCAAAAGTCGGCACTGTCTCGGAAAATCTCAATAGTAGCATTGAGATTAGGAACATACACCCAGAAAGAAATACTAGCCTTATGATCAGCTTCTGTGCTATCAAACGAGAGGATGCTCACGAATAGTCACACGGTGCCCATATGCATCGATAAACACGCCCTCCAAAGGGACAAGTCCAACAGGAAGGAGAAGGTAAAAACTCGACACCCATCCGCCAACCACAGCCCCTTTGTTGAGCCTTTGCTGTGCAAATTGCCTGCGTAACATTTAACAGTCATAACACTATTGAAAGACAATCACTCACGTAGATATCGACAAAAATGACTGCACGCCAGCGTTTTCGAAGGTCGCAAAAAGAATCACAAACCAAAAAGTAAACGGCATCTGGCGCACAGCTGGCCAATTAAACGTTCTAGCCTTACCCGCACTTGGCTGGTCGACCCGCTTGGAGTGATCGACAACTTCGTAATGTGAACGAAGGAATTTATCAAGGATGACGATACAGATAGCGCAGAGAAGAGAGAAGAGGCTTATGACGGCGCTTATCCAGAGAGGCCATGAATATGAGCCAAGATTTTCGGACATCACGTTCGCGGTGCTCTGACCGATATATTGAGCCAGGTTCGCCATCGACCTACATGGTACAAGTGCATATGAGTTGTGAAGGTGTAGTCATAGAACCTACCATATAATACCTGACAAAACGTTAAATAAAAATATAACGATCATGAGGTACCTCACCTATGGACACTCCGAAACCTTTTCCCGGCGCAAAATATGTGGTGAAGATTTTGTGCTGTGCATTATCTAGGGATCCGTCACCGATAGCCGCGATGATCTTGCCCGCCATGAGGACATGATAACTATTGAGTCCGTTTGTCGTTGCGCCGGCCTCTACAATAGCGCCTGCAAGATGAAATGCGGCAAGTATGACGGACATGAGTGGGCCTCCAAATTTATCGATGACGAAACCGAAAGCGATGCAGAGAAATGTGTTGACCTTTTCGAGAGTGAGTACGTCGGTCCCACGTTAGCGGAGCAAGATCGGCCGCACCAGATTCGTTACAGCTACCTAGCGATTCGAGAACGTCAAGACCACTACTGGCACGATTATGTTGAGCAAAATACTTACGAGAGTAGCAAATTCGGAATTGTTAATCTTCAGTTTTTCCTCGATCGTTGTCTTCAGAGCAACGATAAGACCCTGCGGGCATGAAAATAATCTGTTTCATGTGCAAAACTTGAGATATCATGATGGATGCGTACGTTGGACCAATGATTTCCGACTTGCACAGTTCATGAGATACTCGGAAAAATTAATGGAGATGGGTACTTACATGTGCACATACACGTTAATGCAATCATCACTACCTGCCACCTTAAAGGTAGCTTTGGCTTGGCAGCAGGGACTGGGATGGACAGAACACTGATTAATGATTGATGTTGGCCATGTTTGCCTTCGGCATCGGTAGTAGGAGCAACAGCGTTGGCGGAGCGAATGCTGGCAGTGGACATGATAGGTGTAGAGGACCCACATACAACTACAAAAGCCCAGATGAGTCCTTTTAGAATCCACCTTCAAAAATAGAAGCGGAGAAGCTCTTTCGCCGAGTCAAGCAGCCCGATAGCAAGCGAGGACCAAGCGAGGACCAGTTCGTGAAGTTGGTCAAGGTGTTACGAGTCCAACACTGTCCGACAGTCCCAGAGATGCAACTTGAATTTACTATGTGCAGCATGATCCTAATAGTGTGTCGATATTGGTGTTACCTCCACAGTCCTGGCAGCCCGGTTATGAGGCAAGCCGTCGATAAATGGACGAATTTGAATTCGGATCAAGAGCCAGTAACTATCAAGGTAAATTAGTAACGAATAAGCTTCATAGATAAAGCATTCATCCCTTACGGGAAATTTCCACGCCATGAGGGTATGCCAAATTTGGTAATTTTTGCGGTGTTAGCAGCGGACGAGTTCAACACGGACCCTTATCGCACTGAACTCACCTTATTACTTTATTCTTTCTTCTACACGGACATCCATACTCTTTCAGGAAATAATCAACCCTCATGCCTGCTATTGCACACTCACGGCCTTCGAGAAACCATGAGACGATAGGCATATCATCATTGCATACGATACTCGTGCTTCCTATGGTATGTCCACTGCTTTAACGGAATGTGTTTTCATCGACAGAGTACTTTTCTGTCTGTGGACCATATGCGCTGCAGTCGCAGTCATGTTCTCCGGATTAAATCCCATCGCACGTACTTCATTAATGGCAATATGGCTCCGAAATTTGATTGCTCTTCGGGATAGAGATGTGGATATACTAATCCCTTTTTCTCTCTAGACCAGTGTGTGAGGGTACATAAAGATGATGGTGTGAGCCGTAATATAGTTCATCACGAGCGTGCCGTGGAATTGGAGGATAGGTGCATTAGTCGTCCAGTGCGTGACTATCACATCTATATTCTTGTCCCCCTCATCGGGCCGGACAACTTTTGACTTGCTCCATCGTTGTATTGTGTATTTGGTGTGTGCTCACTTGTGATGGTGTATCGAATGCTAAAAGGAGCAACGTGACATGGAAGGTAAGAATAAATGCTCATAATTGCGGAGTCGGGGATTAGGTGTCTACGCACCACCACGATACAAATAACGGCTATAGTTTTGGACCGGGGAGAATTTTTTTTGAGGCGACAAGCTTACATCTGCGAAGCCCAAGCCAGAGCGTCCAGCAGAACGTCGCGAGGTAGTCCACGTTCAACACTGCAGGCACCACGTCTCCTAGGATAAGGGTCTGTTAGCTAGGGTAAGAGCAACACTAGGATGACGAAGGTGGCAGAGTTTCGAGCCTGCGAAAGTTCTCGTCAAGGGGCTATCGCTACCCCAACCGTGCTGACCTTCTGGATTATACTGCCGAGCCTAGATGCCCAGTGGGAGTAAAGGTTCCGTCTCGCGACCGCAATCGCGTTTGATCAACGGCCAGCTGCATACGGTAACCATAACCCACCGGGAGGGCCAGTGAGGTAGGAAGCCAGATCTCGTAGCCTTTAACACACTCACCGAGGGACCCTTTCGGCCGTTTCCGAACCGATTGGAAATGTGGCAGAGATGATGCTGGAGCTCGGAGCCCAGTACCCTTTGCGGATCCTGGAATCGTCATAATAAATGGACCTCGTATGCTGTACTAGCATTACAACCCGACTCCACGCAATGTGAAAGTAACCTTCACATTGCGCGGAGCAGAAGCTCCATTCGATACTTCCCGCAAAATTATCGCGGATGAGGCTTGCCCTACGAATCGGACAAACTTTTGCAACAATCCTATCCATATCATAACAATAAGTCGAATCTTTTGTCTACCCGGGAGAGGCCACATCCTTGACTAGACGGATTTGTATCCTGTCGCATTCGCGCTCTCGTTCTCCAGCACGGGTTTTTTTTATCATGATGAGTCTAATACCTCATCTTATATCAATCTCCTGCAGCCCTACTATCCGCCTACCCTCTCGAAGATACCATATAGCCAGAGACTCGACTTCCCTTTCGATATCAAACCGTTCCGGTGCCCTAGACTACTCCAACGCCTTCAGGAACTAGATAAGGCCATCTCCCGCACTAGTATACTTTTTGACGATACTTGATGTGGCCTAGCCGTTGCCTTGTCATGAGTCAGATGGATTCATTATAGAAGTCTGTGCCCGAGGAAACGTATGCCCTTGCAAATTGAAAAGAAAACATGAACTCCCGGATGGTATTAATGCGACCGTTGTTCGTCGCTCACGGACTTTGTGCCATACTAATCCGTATTGTTGTAGCGGATTGATTCATTAGTACTAATACGCCGATGGTAACCTAGACACGCTGCGAAAAAAAGAACTGCCCTCTTGATAAAGATCGTGTCTCAACAGCACCTATACTCGATCCATCCTGAGGCACTCTTGAGTTCGAGATACAGCTGTGCTTATGGCAGCGGATCAATTCCACAATGGAACTTCATGTTGACTCATTTGGACCTCACATGCATTGTCGTGAATTTTTGGGTAAGATCGATCGATCAATCGGTGTGCATGCATATGAAACATTCCATTTTTACACTTATACGTTGAGCTGGAAAAATACTACCGAAACACTAATGTGATACATCTTCACGTAATGTACAAAGCACTGAATGTCCACACATTCAGTGATGATGAGGAAGAGGGGTATGCTTGCACAGGTATAGAGAGCGGTCAGCATGTCCGCAAAATGGTCATGAACGTCGTTGGAGAACGACAAAGGAGTAGGGGGCAACAAGAACGTCGTAACGCCACGAAAACCCCGAGAAGGGATACGTGGCACTGCTTTGACCAAAACCGGTTTGATCCTAGCTTGAACACTTCCGACCGATAAGTCCAACCATGCAGACGCGAATCAGTCTTCCTCCGGAACCTCGTAAATACTGGACAATGAAGGTCGGCGACGTGGAGTCATAAGACTGGTGCTGCTCCTACGACGGCGGTGGCCGCGCCTGGAGGGAGAGGGCATGGAGCTTGACAGTGGATGGATGTTGTTAGACGGATGCGAGGTGGGGACCGGGGAAATAGACAGGTCGTCGGATAAGGACGACATGGAAGATGACGGAGATGAACTATAGATGACGTATGGCTCTTCCTCTTCCTCGCTCGATGATAGAGAGAGTGATGACGCAGAAGTAGTCAAGCGGGTGACATCGCCATTCTCTGGCATGGGTGATGATGCTGCAAGCCTACCTGAACAGCCAAAGCTCATCTGAAAATTGCATGAGTGACATAATTCATGACGGATTTGGAGTAACGATACTGACCACATCCTGCCGTGCACTAGTCGCCCGAATCCACTCAGCAACACGACGGGCCCATTCTCTCTTTTTCAGAAACTCGATCCGTTCCTTCCTCTGCTGCGCGGTTTCAATGAAATGTTGCTGTCTCCCGCGAACATCATACGGAGGGGAATAAACAGGGGTGGTGACTGGATATGATGAAGCGAGCAGGAGATCGTTCACAGGGTACCCTGCATCGTATAATGAAGACATGGTAGAAATAGTAGGTCCAGATAGTGATGGTAATCTAGAAAGGGAGTAAAGTTGTGTACGAGGGTTGTCTCCGATTATATATGACGGCATGAATTGTGGTCTAGAATGTTTTCCAGAAGCGGTTCAAGCTGTCTCGGATTAGTCAGCGTCAATTTCATTTATTAATCCGATTCATTTTGGAATCATCCGATGGCGGATCCGTTCAATCCGGGTTTCTACCAAGGTCTAGCTACATAAGTACTATGTAGCAACTGAAGCGAGCTCAAAGTTGTATAGTCTCACAAAATTTGGACCAAGGGATACCATCCTCCTTATAATTAATTATAATCCATAGTCCGACATGACATCGTATGCTGTTTACCTGTCACGACCCCGGCGGTTATTTATCATGTTTCGCATCCGCGGTGATACCGCGAAGCCCATCCCAAAGGTTCGGTTCCAATTAGCTAGTAGTAGGACTCACATGCCCCTCGTACCTTTCTTCTGCTCTGCTTTTAAGCCCCTCAGCCATGGCTATAAATCCCTTCTTCAATCCATTCCCGACGAAGGCCCTGACCAGATACGCGAGGAGCCCACCAAACACCTCAATCGTCTCATAGCGTGTTTTGCCTCCCTCAACTTCTACGAGCGCCTGCCACCGTTCCGCGGTGAGCAACCAGTGTGGCATTTCGACGTTCACCCATGCTGTACGATAGTTTTCGTGATCCAGTGCTGTAATCCGCTCGAAAGCGGAGCCGGGAAACCACTGATTGTCAAATGACGGAGGAATGTGCACCGGCTGGATGTATAGGTAACAGCCTTCACGTGGAGTCTCGTCGGGCAGGTGATTCTTCCGCGCATCTGTGATGCGTTGGTCTCGCCTTTTCAAGCTATTTGCATCAACTGCAAACGTTGTGAACAGCATAGCTTACACGAACGGGTTCCTAGATTACCGAGTCAGTTAGGTGGTGGTTATGGAGAGTTAGACCGGTCATCGTCAAGTGTGCAGCATTTACCATTCCTTGTATGACTTCCAGTCCATCAGAACTTCCCACACTTCTTTGCGAGGCGCATTTATAAGACATGAAGATGAGACTGAGAAGACACCGGTCGAAGAAAGTGGGGGAAGACCAGTTCTAGACGACATGGTAAACTACTTCAAAGTGTGGAGTATGTAAGCACAAATGATTCAAGACAAATAGGGTAACGCCCCTTGCACTGAACCGTTGTTGATCCCTTTGGGTGTGATTGTTACGTCAGCAATTTTTTTTTTGCAAATGAAGATCTAGCATCACTCATAGCGTTTGTGGAATGCTAGTATTGTATTAATATGCCGTCTGCACTTGCAAGTCAGTTGGCCGCATCCGCATCTCTAAATGCATCTCTTCTCGACGCTCACACCAACAAACGGAGACGGACAGAATCATACCTTTTTACTGGTCGAGATGCCGACGTTCATGACCTAGACTCAATCCATGCACTTGCTAGCAATGCCTTCGCGCAATTATCCTCATTGTCCCCTGCTTTTACTGCGCGAACCGCAAAACTACCTTCAGATGGGTCTTCCCTGTCTGTGGACTTTGACCAGACTTTATTTTCCGAGGCTGCAAGGAATGTCGATCGTACCATGCAATCCCGGGAGGTGAACGCAAACCTTGATCGCACGCTGAACGCGTTCTTGTCTCTGTTAGGACCGTGGCTCATGGAGGCGCCTACAAGCAAAGTATTAGAATGGCTGGTCAGGAGATTTCGGTATGTGTTTGTACCATCTTGTCAACTTCTGCAACTGACAACGTCCCTGAAGCATTAATGAATTTAACGTCGATGCAGTTCTCTCCCTCTTCTTCCCTTATCACGAATCCCCGCACTTTGTCAAGATGCTCTCAATCCTACACATATCGTGCGTTTCGTTTCGCTTCATGCATGCCAGTTTCATTTTTGACATCTGTCCCTAGTTCTTCTTCCATCTTTTCATTTCTGCTCCCATTTAAATCAACAGCAACGCCTCTTGCACGGAGCTCGATTGTCAAAGCCATGGCTGCCAACCAAGCGGTAGCAAGATTTATTGCATCGTTACTTCCAACTGCGATCAGAGGTAGGAATCTCTATTCAAATCGACTTTTAGCACCAACATAACGCTTTTAGGCTCATCTTCTCATCATACACTTGTGGCTTTCAATGCAGCCACAATGCACGACTATATCGCATCTTCGCCGGCTCTAGATGAAGGCATTCTTGCGTTTTTGTTGTCGGCTCTCCTTGCGCCATTTCAGACTAGTCACAGTGATGCCAACGCAACTGTAAGTTTTCGAATTATGACGCCTTGGTATTACTGACACGATGATGCCTTCCCTTAGCTCGGTAGTTACGTACTGCTTTCCACACTTTCGCATAAAGTTTCGCTGTCATCTGCTGCCGTGGTAGCTATCATTGGAGCAATGGCCACTTCAGCTGCTCCAAAGGGCAAACGGAATACGAAGGACGACAGATGTAGCGAACAATTTGTCAAAGTCGCAATTGCAGTATGCTCACCTCAAGAAGAGCTTGAGACTTTTCACGCCAACACAGGGAATTTATGTCTAAAGATTCCGTAAGTCAACTTTGGGAATGGCGACTATTTGATGTTAAAGTCGTGGTCGCAGCACATTTACGGAAGAACTTCGAAGCGCAGTTCAGTTTGTTGGAGCCGAAAAGTTTATCTTGCCGATCCTTGAGTGTCTCAAGCCCCGGTATGTACAGGCTTCCTCAGGCCTCAACCATCGAGAACAAGGACTTATTATTTTCCAGACTCGAGGAGCCTGTTGTATCCTCTCTTTACGCTGCAATTCTTAGTGCCACGGGTACTCCTCTGAGATTGCTTGAGCGCTTGGTGTCCTCGCTCATACGACTAATTCTCACTAGCAGTGACGAAGAGTCTGTCGCTACCTCAACGACCAATGCCGCACGTGCTCTCTTGTCTCTCGTTCATCAACGTCATGTTGATATTCTTCGCGATGCCGTGGGTAAAATCATCGAGGTCAAAGAGAGCGAGCACGAAGGCGACGATCAGCGATTGAAAAAGAAAGAGCGGAAGACGAAAGCGGATGAGTTGATGATCTCGTTTTCAGTGGTAAGTTTCCTCAGCGTGTGTCACTACATATATTAAGTTAAGAACCTTCTCAGAGTCATCCATGGGCTCAAAGTACTGACGTCAATGAGATTGTCGTTGCTTCAACAAGCACCGCTAAGGAGGCACGCGTTGGGGCTGTCGAGCGGCTATACAAAATTTTGCAAGGGGGGTTGACGCTCGAGGCATCTGATAAGGTAACACTATCGACATCGCTGTTCCTGATTTTTTTTACTAACATCAATATTTCAAGGCCTCAATACAGTCAGCTCTGCTTGCTCGCGTCTACGACACGCACGCTGGAGTTCTCC